CGCCTGATGATGATGTCAGTTGTAATTACTAGCCAAACGTCGTACTCGAATAATTGTAAATGTCGTGGGGTGTTTACTCTCCAACACATCGGGTGTGTGTGTTAAAAAAACTAGCAGCGAATCGGCACGTTTTGTGTAACGCGTCAAACCTTACTAATTGCCCGTGTGGTCGGATGGTGACGGGTTTAACGACACATTAATATTTACTCAATATCCAAACGCAACGTCGGGGCCTACGTCGAGGCCTACGTGGAGGCCTACATAGAGGCCTACGTCGAGGCCTACGTCGGGGCCTACGTCGAGGCCTACGTGGAGGCCTACATAGAGGCCTACGTCGAGGCCTACGTCGGGGCCCACGTGGGGGCCTACGTGGGGGCCTACGTCGAGGCCTACGTGGAGGGCGCTCGTAAATGGAAGCAGAACAATGAAGCTGATGGGCCAAACATCTCGTCTCTCCACGTCCATATCACGCAACTATTCAGCCTCGGCGCCTCCAGGCCGCACGGCCGCTGCTGCTCTGCTGTAGTACACACAGCTGCGGCTGCTTCGTGTATGACTCCTGCAACTGCAGTTGGGTCGGCTGCAGCTGCTACAGCAGCTACAACAACAACAGCAGCTACAACAACAACAACAGCAGCTTCAGCAACAACAGCAGCTGCAGCAACAACAGCAGCTGCAGCAACAACAGCAGCAGCTGCAGCAGCAACAGCAGCAGCAGCAACAGCAGTAGCTGCAGCAACAACAGCAGCTGCAGCAACAACAGCAGCTGCAGCAACAACAGCAGCAGCAGCTGCAGCAGCAACAGCAGCAACAGCAGCAGCAGCAACAGCAGCAGCTGCAGCAGCAGCAACAGCAGCAGCTGCAGCAACAACAGCAGCAGCTGCAGCAACAACAGCAGCTACAACAACAGCAGCTGCAACAACAACAGCAGCAAGATGGCGGCGGCGTGTGCGGCCGCGTGTGCGTTGTGCTGCATGGGTGTGGGCTGTGCGTGAGAGTGGGTGAGGGTGAGCTGCGTGTGAGTGAGCTGTGTGTGTGTTTAAATTTAGTGTTTTAAAGATGTCAATTCACCTGCTGTGTATCTTACTGCTGTCCCTCCCGGCCATATCTAGTGCCACACTCAACTCTACAAACGGCTACCTGCGTTACTTCGCGTCAATACTTATTGCAAAATTTGCAACTACACCTGCTAATGAAACAACTTATAGACACTTCTACACTCCATCATTATATCCTTTTAAACCCTATCTTTGTCCCATTACTTCACCAGCACTCCTTCCAAACTTCATTCTGCTCTTAAAAATAACACCATCTGCGAGCTGCTGCTATTCGTCCAAGGTTCGTCGCTCTTCATCCTTTCACAGAAAATACCTGTGCAAACTATTAATTCTACTTTTCTTATTTCTGGGTGGTATTGAGCTTCATCCTGGACCAAATGTAAAGAACTCATATAATTCTGTAGATTTTTCTGGCAGAAAAGGTGTTGGTGTTCTACATGTCAACATCAGAGGGCTTTTGATTAAATTAAGTCAACTAAAACTAGAAGTAGCAAATCTTGACCCGGACATATTTTGCCTAACAGAAACATTTCTCACTCCTGCCGTCAATGACTTGCAGATTACGATTGACAACTACAATCTTTTTCGGCTTGACCGAGGATCTAAAGGAGGTGGAATTGCCATCTATGTTCGTAATACTATTGCATGTTCACCAGCTCACTCCTTGTTTAAAATATGTTGCTTTGAAGGTCTGGCTCTCAGAATAACTCTCCCTAATAATCAACACATATTGGTAGTGTGCTGCTATAGACCGCCTAGTGGGAAGGATGTTGAAGCTGCATCTGCACTGAGAGAGCTTCTTGGGGGCCTCCCTAAAGGTGAAATAGTTTTAGTGGGTGATCTAAATTGGAATTGGCTAAACCCGCCGGCCGTGGCCACAAATTTTGCAGATGAATTTAACCTGTTTCAATTAATAAATGTCCCCACAAGACCCAACCTAAAAAATCCGGGACAGTCATCTCTGCTTGACGTCCTATTGACAAATGCCCCTCACAATTTCGCACTGACTGGTGTTCTAGGTAATAACCTTAGTGATCACTCCTTCATTTTTGGGGTGAGATCATCAGCCAGACCCAAAGCCCCCCCTAAATTGGTTGAGAAGCACTCCATGAGACACTTCAGCACTCAGGCATTTACTAATGATGTGCTTCACTCGGATATTGACAAGGTCTGTGATATTCCAAACCTGACTACGGCTTGGGAGACCTTCAGGTACACGTTTCTCCAAATTCTTAACAAACATGCTCCGTTGGTTAAATTTAAAACTAAAGGCAACCGTCCACCATGGTTTGATCCTTTGATTACAAAGCTCATGAAAACTAGGGACAAGGCTTGGGCATGTGCTCAGAAAAGTAATTTGGTCAATGACTGGCTAAAATACAGGATTTTAAGGAATAGATGCGTCAAAAAAATACGGCATGCAAAAAATAACTACTTCTCTTCCACTCTCCTTGAATCTCATGGAAATGCCAGGATTTTCTGGAAAACAATCAAATGTATCGAAAAGGCATCCAAAACAGATCATCTGCCCGTTCAGCTTAACCGAAATGGGGAATATTTTTCAGATCCCCAAAAAATAGTTGACAATTTTAACCTTCATTTTTCTGAAGCTGGTACCCTATTTGATAATGTATTGGGAGTCACCCCTGCTCATGCAAATTCCTACACTCCTGTCCAAACATTAAGCGAATTTAGTTTTCAGCCAATCCACGAAAGTAATGTTCTGAAACAACTGTCCTACCTCAAAGGGTCCTCCTCTACCGGAGCAGATAGTATTCCCGTCTTTGCTCTACTAACTGTTGGTCACCTAATATACAAACCTATAGCCCATATTTTCAACCTGTCCATCAAAGAAGCATCAGTTCCTCTAGAATGGAAACATTCCTATGTTCGTCCACTTCACAAAGGGGGCCCTAAAGATGATCCAAATAACTACCGACCTATCTCAATTTTGTCCCCGTTGATGAAAATTTTTGAAAAATTATTGACCTACCAAATTAGCAGTTTCCTGTCCGCCAACAATCTATTACATCTAAAACAATCTGGGTTCCGAAAAAAATACAGCACCACATCTGCTGCATTAGACTCTCTGAATCACATTTACAGTAGCCTTGATAATAAGCAGTACTGCGCCTGTCTTTTTCTTGACTTGTCCAAAGCTTTTGATACAGTAGACCACAACATCCTGCTTAGTAAAATAAGTTGCCTCGGTTTTTCCGAAAACACAGTAAAATGGTTAAAAAATTACCTCTTTTCTCGCACCCAAACTGTATTCACAGAGGGTTGGAGGTCAAACAGTGTTAAGATAACAAAAGGGGTTCCACAGTGTTCCATTCTCGGCCCCCTCTTGTTCTCTCTTTATGTAAATGACTTGGGCACTGAACTGGATTATTCCAGGGTAAATCTTTTTGCAGATGACACGGTACTAATTACTTCTGGCCGCTCTCCGGATGACGTGATTGCTAAGCTCCAGAGTGATTTCAACAAACTACAACATCAGCTAGTTGCTCTTAAACTAGTCCTAAATCCTGCCAAAACCAAGGTGCTATGCTTCTCACCAGGACTAAAGCGGGAAGTTATTTTTCCCCCAATTACATACCTTAAATAATGATCAAATAGAGCAAGTCAAGATCTATAAGTATATTGGGGTCATCCTGGATTCAAAACTGAATTTTGAAGATCACATTGATTATATTGGGAAAAAGACAAAAATTAAAATTGGTTTTCTATATCGACACAAGCACTGCTTCCCCCCTATGTTCCGTTTGGAATTGATTAAAGCTACCATACTGCGTCTACTTGATTACTGTGACATTGTGTATAAATCAGCCCCAAGTACTGTACTGAAGAAGCTTGACTCAATGTATCACTCGGCCTTAAGATTTGCATTGAACTGCCCATATAGGACTCACCACTGTGATCTCTACATTGGGTCAAACTTAACATCTCTGAATGTTCGACGGCTTGTGCACCAGATCTTATTTATTCATGATGTACTTGCAAAAAAAATCTGCAGATTACCTGCTGGATCTCGTCTCTGTTTCAAAGAACAAATTTGACCTAAGGTCTACACTCATTTACCAGCTTAATATTCCCTATTGCCGTACATATACTGGAGGAAGGGCCTTTGCTATTGATGCCCCCAGGGTCTGGAATGCTGTTGCAAATAAATTGAAACTTGAGTCACTACCTATGAGATCTTCACTCAAAACTGCTTTAGAGGAGTTGTACACCCCTAGCTGCCAGTGCTATTCAGTGACCTAAAATAAAATGTTTCGCTCTGGATGATCGCTACAAAGTATGACCTGTGTTTTGATTTAGTGTGCTGATCTTAAAGGTGCATTGAAAATTTACAATACTCCGATTGATGCTCCTGCTGTTGTGGAGTGACTCATGCAGCCAGCTATGGCTGCAGGGTTTTGGTAGTACATGTTGTTTATGCCATTTATTGTGAAAATTCCGTCACAGTTCCTATGATTGCTTTTTCATTGCTTTCATGGCTTTATTTTGGTGATTTCGAAAAGTGTATTGGTTTAGCCATGTTTGTGTTGTTGTAGTACAGAGTTAGACTGATGGCCTTAATCTAAGTTGTCTTGTGGTTGTTGTTGTTGTTTGACTTGCATCCCACTGGGATTTTTGCACACAGCGTTGGTGTACGGTGTTTTTTCTGCAATATTTTTGCTGTCTTTTCTTGGATTTTCTGTTTGCACTTAGTCACATATTCACTTTAAGATGTTTTTTGTTCATGTTTTTTGTTTTTTGTTTGTTGCGGTTGCACCCGATTCAAGAGCTGAATGGTTCACAGGGCTATACCTAATACATGAACTTGAACTGTTGTGTTACTGACACGTTAACCATTCCCCTGCGTAAGATGGCCGACAAACTCATCGCCGGGTGACGTCATCACCGCGTGACGTCATCTCGCCGACACGACGCGAGTGACGTCACCGCGTAAACAAACAATGGCGGCGGCCGATGGTGTCGAGGCTGCGTGAGTGTTTCAGTGCCGGCAAAACTTTTCGCTTCCCGGTGAATTTCACCTCAAGAGGAGGAATTTGTTTTGTTTTTATCTTCTTCCCCTTCGTCGATCGCCTTCGTCCGTCTCGATGATTTTTTTGTCGTTTTTTTGAGCGGTCTGACGGCACTCAACGCGCTCTTATTTCAAGGTAACCACCACCAACCACCACCACCACGGCAGCTTTGGGCCTTATTACAAGTACAGTTCTACGATTTTACTTAATATGTATTAATCATATCGCGTAAATATATAAATGTGTCGTTAAACCCGCCGCCACCCGACACAGCCGGTTAGTGAGGGTTGTCACGTGAACAGAACGTTGCAATTCGTTACTAGTACAGCAACACCGGTTGTGTGTTGCTGAGCAAAGCCACAACATTTACAATCTTGAGTACGACGTTTCGTCAGTAATTACGACGAGCTTTATCAGGCAAACAGCCAGATTTGGTCATCCAATGGTCCTTCATATTGATAATTATAAATGTTGTATATTGTAGTTATTCTCACGTGCAGAGAAAGTACGTGTTTATTGTCAGTAGTATATGATTTTGTTGTTAATATGGCTATTTCGGCTTCCTATGCCTTTGCCATATGTACAATAGCGTCAATGGCATTGTAGCCTGAAAACAAAGTGCTTGTATGTAATGGGCGACGTTTCGGGCAATGGTCCTTCAGTTGTGTCTGGTGGTCAACGGAGGTGAGCGCATGATGATTGAGAGTGTTAGGAAGTGTGTACATGTTATTAAATCCTTTATATTAAGTTCGCTTGCTTGCGTGCTTGCTTACGACCGTGCAAACCTTTCGGTCGTTTTTTAACCCACTTCCCGTGATCCAATCGAGCTGACATTTTGCACACAGACTCGTTGTGCGTGACAATTAATGTTCGTGAAAAAAAAATTCAAACATTTTACACTGTTTAGGGAAAACAAATTAAATATTTAATTACCAATTGCTTAATGGTGGCAGACAATCATCTGACCCATAGGTGGCAGCCATCTCAAGCCAGAGGACGAGAGGACTCTAGCCGCCACGCATATAAAGGATTTAGAGTGAAAAACTTTGTTTTTACGGGTTATACTTGTTTTGTGTGTGAAGTGGTTTCGACAGAGGGGTTTCTAATTGGAATCTGCCTGTGACCAACTCAACCCTGAATGCTAAGCGGGGTTGAGCCTGGGTCGTGCCTGGTTAGGAGAACACTGCTCATAACAGGTGTCATAGGCGGCTGCGGGGCTACTCGGTGATTAAACTAAACTATTGTACTGGTAGGAACCTCCTGGTTACATCAGCCCACGTGGGATTATTGTGTCCGTCCGTCCGTCGTGCAGGGAGGGGCTGGGTGGGGAGGGTGGGGAGGGAGGGAAGGGTGGGGCTGGGTGGGGAAGGAAGGGTGGGGAGGGTGGGGAGGGGGTGGGAGGGGTGGGGCTGGGTGGAGAGGGGCTGGGTGGGGAGGGGCTGGGTGGGAAGGGAGGGGCTGGGTGGGGAGGGGCTGGGTGGGGAGGGGCTGGGTGGGGAGGGGCTGGGTACCCCGTGGTGCCCTTATAAAACTCAACGTTTAACCTACTCACGCCGGCTTGTGCCCGCCCTCACAGTCGGGCATATTTGCGGAATACACCACGCCGCCGTTGACCCTGGCCATTGACCGAGCAACCCAACGTTCCTACCAGCTCCCTCCGCAGGAATGTGTTTTTATGTGTTTTTATTTGACGAGGTAAGCTGTGTAGCTCTTTTTCAGAAGCGACCTGGCCATCACAAATGATAGCTCAACGAAGTGGACTCATCACGTGGACATTGATGGCAGCAGCCAAATACTCCAAACGCGTGGTGATGTTGATTCTAAATGTGGAGGGAGAAACCGAAGGACCCGGAGAAAAATCCACTTGGCTACGGGGAGCGGGACACGCAAACTCCAAATATACAGCAGGCGTCGGGATCGAACCCACGAGCTCCTTGTTGTATAATAGGCGAGGTATATTCTTGGTTCTTTTGGTAAAGTCACGTAGAAGGGAAATAATAAAATATTAAAAATATTAAACAATAAAAATGCTCACGACGTTTCGACTGCAACACAAGCAATCACGATCAGGTGTGAAATCCACAGCAAGAAATGTTTCTTGCTGTGGATTTCTCTTCTACGTGACTTTACCAAAAGAACCAAGAATATGAATCGCTGCAGTCACGAAAGCTTTAAATCAAAATAGGCGAGGTATTTACGCTATGAGACCTCCTTTACCAGTGGCAAAATATAATAGTAGGTTTTTACCTTTTCAATTGGTATAAAACTGACACCTTTATACAAGGCATCATGTTTGCAATAACCACAACACAAGCTGTCTCGGGTGTGGACCAATCAACTTCAAGGACAGTGCATATCATTATCAGAGTTTTCTTTTTGTTTCCATTTTGAATGTGTTGTGGTTATTGCAAACATGATCCCTTGTATAAAGGTGTCAGTTTTGTACCAGTTGAAAGGGTAAAAACCTACTATTATAGGCGAGGTAGTTAACATCTCGCCAGCAGAGGGGAGCTTGGTGAAGTATGGTGAAATGACCTCACCTACCAGTGGTCTTACAAAAGGCTGTGTGCATGGATCATGAGGTGCTTTTGTTTTAATAAATACATTTTTTTAAATCAGTTACTGTCGATATGTGTAACTGCCTACTATAACACAAGTTTGGAAGCGTTTGCGTGTTTGTTAGGGCTGTTGTTTTGCAATTAATCCCAGGAGAATGGTCCAAGAAACTGACAGCACTGTCGTCACTGTTACATTCTTTACCTTGATCACTTCGTTATATTTACCATAATCCTATACCGCATCATCATCGTCATCGTCATCATCACAGCCTTACCATTATGATCAAATAATTCTTAACACAGTCACAATATTAATTTGCACAGTATACTCAAATAACCACATTCGTTGTCACGTCATCATCATCATTGGCATCACTGTTATCGTAATTTTTTTTATTCATTACTATATTAATAATTACCACATGGTCAGCAACATGACGATCACTATTATCACTATCGTAATATCCTTGATCACATTTGTAACGACGGCATCATCATCGGCTGTTCCAACTTTGTTTTCCCAGTTGTAGGTAATGACTGACAATGGAGAATATCATCATTATTGTCATCACAACAATAATTAGTAACATCATCAGCACCTACTAACAGCAGAAAAGATATCCTTTCCACCTTCATGCTCATTAGTGTCAACCATCATCATCATCCCCTATTCACGAATTCATTATTAAAGTTTACCATTCACATGGTCATCAACACCACTGTCACATCACACTTATACTGTTTGCAAATCGTCACCACCGTCGTCTTCATCCCCACAATTACCACCACCACCATTATTCATCATCAGCATTATCTGTATAATTACCATCATCGACATCATAATCATCACCTCCCATCACAATCACCATTATGTTCATCATGGAAGTTTCGCGTTTGTTTCCCCAGTTCTCGGAGGTGACAGACACACGGCGAGGAATGCCTTGTGCGCTGCAAAGATCGGGGCGACCCCTGCGCTATGCTTGGGGTCTCGGGGCCACCGCGGTGAACACTGGTAAATTAATCCAATAAAATTATCCACCCAACCTGTTCACCAATTAAAATCATTTTCTCCCATTTTTTTGCGGATTGTGATTTGGATGTAGATGAATTGACATGGGATTTGTTTTTATCACCAAAATAATAATTTAGGTGCGTAACACAGTGGGATTTCTGGACGGGTGCTTTCCAGTTTCTGTAATCAAGGCAAACGTGTATCTTATCTGAATCTCATCGCCTGGGTGTGGGCTCCACTGAATGATTTTGAACATTCTTGCAGTAATTGCTGAACATTTTATTATTGGGCCCACACATGATTTATTTTACGGGCCCCAAGCCTGTTTATAAGACTCAGATGAGATAGACTGGTCCAGTTTGCCTTTATTTAAACAAATGATTTGTAAACCCACTGTTTGTGAAGGTCAATTGGTCAACAGGAAAAAACATTATTCTGTGTCGGCATTGAAAGTCATTCCTTCCCTGTCGACGATTTGTCCAGTCAATCAAAGAGTCCTCACAAATGTGAGACACCCACCTAAAGCGTAGTGATGTGCCTGTAGTAGGCAGTACAGCAAGTGTGTTTCTAGCAGGACATCTGGGTAGTGGAGTTTTTAGTGTTTTAATGTGTGGGTTTGCTCCTGGTATTTTTGGTTTCCTCCTATACACACCATATAGCTATATATGAATATAGATCTATGTTATTTAAAAAGTAATTATTTTATCGTCAATTTAAACAAGCTTTATTTTTGCACAATAACATTTGCAGAGGATGATTGTACTCCTTCTATAGCTAGGCAATGTAAAAGTTTACGAGATTTGAACGCCATTTTAATTGTTCACCCGAGCTTATATGAGGAAATGAACAAACTATTGGGTCATTTAATCTGTTATGTAATAGAATTACAAACGCAAGGCAGACACATGGGACGTGTCATAGAAACGGGCCCTTTTGTCTATTGAGCCAATTTGCCATGAAAGCACATTTACACTCTGTTGAACATCAAACGCAAATTATACACACATCAACTAGCAGTCGGCTGTGTTGAATCAGCTGAGGTCTTCATGTGTTGCCACTATTACGTTTTTTAAATATATATAAATAAGATCTGGAATCACTGCAGAAGGTACAGAAAAGGAGGTGAAAGCAATGCAGTACAGGTAGTCCCCGACTTACGATGGAGATGCGTTACGACGACCCCATCGTAAGTCGAAAATATCGTAAGTCGAAAATGGCCTCGCTTACCCAGGCGTCTTAAAGAATGGTGATAATTTAGCAAAACAGAGCAATTTACAGTACCGTACTGTATAAACTATATGCGTACAGTACATCCCGGCAGCGTCCCAACGTACAGTATCGTACCTCGTACGCTACTGCGTTTGCCTGCCGCGCGAAATGAAAAATATTTTACAATTTTGTCATATCGCTATCGCCATCGTAAGATCTAAATATTGTAAGTCGGACCATCGTAAGTCGGGGACTACCTGTACTAAATAAATCAAATCGTCAACATCAAAGAGGAGAGCCTCCATTGTTAAAAAGGGCATTGGGTTGTGTGAAGATTTTTCTTGGCTACCCCGGGCCAGTGGTGGAAATTCCACATTTCTGTGTCAGGGTCCTAGTTTATTTAGAGGAACATCACAGTTGACATCCGACAGAGTGGTGCTGTAAAATGTTATTGCCCCCTATGAGAATACTGATGATGGGACCAACCCCGACTGGGATTCGAACGTGAGAGCTCCGGCTGCGAGTTGAGCTGAAAAGAACTAAACACTGTTGTTAATATGGTCGTTAAAGTATGAAACATAATTGGGTTTAACCCTTTCTGGCAATGAAATAGGCGTTACGATGTTCAAACACCAACTAGAAACCTTTTTCAAGGAATCAAGTTTGCGGTGAACATGCAATCAAACATGCTGTGATAAATATGCATTGTCTTTAAAACTGATTGGCCTGCACCAGAGAACCCCTTCTTGAGAGGCCTAGTCTCACCAGTGTCGGAGCAGAGAACCCCAAAAGGCGAACACTGGTAGAGACTAGACCCTGAATCAGGCTGTCCCTGGTGTAGAACAATCAGTTTGCATGTTCGACACACGTCCCTGTGGTTAATGTGAATTTGATTCCTTGCAAAACGTTTTTGGTTGGTTTTCAATTTAAAGCTTTCGTGACTGCAGGGATTCATCTTCTTGGTTCTTTCGGTAAAGTCACGTAGAAGGGAAGTAATTAAATAATAAAAAACAATAAAATAATTCTCACGACGTTTCGGCCACAACGCAAGCAGCCGTCTTCAGGCTGCTTGCGTTGTGTGCTGTTTCATTCAGACGCTGTCGCCTCAACAGACCTGGTTTCACCTGAGGACGGCTGCTTGCGTTGTGGCCGAAACGTCGTGAGAATTATTTTATTATGTTTTATTTTTATTATTTTATTACTTCCCTTCTACGTGACTTTACCGAAAGAACCAAGAAGAGGTTTTTGGTTGGTGTTTGAACATGTCAACACCCGTTTTATTGCCAGAAAGGTACAGCCTGTTCTTATTTTTTCATGCTTTGATACTGGAGAAAAGGTCCCGTATTGTCATTAAAGAAAGAAAACCAATATGCTTGTTACATCATTTTTTCCGGTCAATAATTCCGATTACCATCGAACCTACGAAGTAGAGTTTGTTTGGAAACCTTTTGTTGAATATGTAAATGTTCTTGCATTCAATTAGTATTTTATCTCTACACTAGAATAGAAACCCGGTGAGCCGGACACGAGCTATCTGGATTTCACATTTGGCTGAACAAGATCGTCTAATGAATAAACAAAAAATCCATGCATTTTAAATGCAAGAATCAATTGTACATGTTATAAAGTAATGCACATACTGAATATTTTAGAGTACATTCTGTAATACATCATATGAAATAAAATGCATTTAAATGTGTTAGATCGTGTAAAATTAGTTAAATATTTACCTAAAGTGTATACAATGCTTTAATGCACTCGCGGTGGGGGAGGGGCGATTCATGCCCTCCAGAATATCAACACGGAACTCGGTCATGTTTCATTGTGTGGTCGTATTGTTGCTGGTGGTAAAATGAGTGATAAAACACAGTGAGCGCAGTGAGTTTAATCAACTTTGCTGGTCACCAATGCACAAAACAACTGTAATATTGTATTTGGTTCTTTCGGTTAAGTCACGTCTAAAGATAAAATAATAAATCAAATAATAGCATTTTACGACGTTTCGATTGCAACACAAGCAATCATCATCAGGTATGTCGCTATTTCATTATACCTGATGATGATTGCTTGTGTTGCAATCGAAACGTCGTAAAATGCTATTATTTAATTTATTATTTTATCTTTAGATGTGACTTAACCGAAAGAACCAAATAATAATTCCGGCAGTCACGAAAGTCCTAAAATTAAGATTGTAATATTGTAATAGGTTTTTACCCTTTTAACTGGTACAAAATCTGACACCTTTATACAAGGCATCATGTTTGCAATAACCTCAACACAAGAAGCTACCTCTGATATCGCTCTACTTCTTGTGATGAGGTTATTGCAAACATGATGCCTTGTATAAAGGTGTCAGATTTTGTACCAGTAAAAAGGGTAAAAACCTATTGCTATATTTTTCCACTGGTAAAGGAGATCTCATAGTGTAACTGTAATATTGTATTTGGTTCTCTACTTAAATTAGGGAACAGGAATGATAATTACAATTCTTTTTAGCTGTCATGTGACAAACATCACCGTCATATGGCTGGGCAGGTGGCAAAGTGCTGTCCTTTGCTCTCTGAACCAGGTTATTTGGAGGGTTATCAGACACAGTGCTGTAATATCCACTTACATGGGCCGTTTTCTAACAGAGGATTGGATTGCTCTGCAAGACATCCAAAGGGATACTTATATCATGACACCGATGGCAATACATTGGGGAGGCTGTGGGAAGTAACAAACAATCAAAGAAACAAGTAATAAGTATAACCCGTAACAACAAAGTTTTTCACTATAAATCCTTTATATGCGTGGCGGCTAGAGTCTTCTCGTCCTCTGGCTTGAGATGGCTGCCACCTATGGGTCAGATGATTGCATTGCACCATTAAGCAATTGGTAATTAAATATAATATTTTTGTCCTAAAAAGTGTAAAATTTTGGGAAAAAAAAATTCACGAACATTAATTGTCACGCACAACGAGTCTGTGTGGAAAATGTCAGCTCGATTGGATCACGGGAAGCGGGTTAAAAAACGACCGAAAGATTTGCACGGTCCTAAGCAAGCAAGCGAACTTAATATAAAGGATTTAAAAATGTGGATCATCAAGTTTTTTCCAGGATAACAACACTGCAGTTGTCACATCCGGTGTATTCCCCCCCTCCCTTGAACAGGAGGCCGTGCGCGTGTCGCGTTCGCTGGCTGCTCCCCGTGGCCCGGCCCTACCCCCAAGCAGCTATGGCCGCTCCTGCGGCTTCCGGCAAGGACTCTTTCCTTCTCCCCCTCCGTCTCCAGGGCCAGGGAGCCTCCCTCTCACACACCTCGTTCACCGCCGCCGCCCTCCAAGCAGCAGGGAGGGCCCACGGGCGGCAAGGTGGGCGCGGGGCGAGCCCCCTTGCATCATCACCCTCTCCCACGTTTTCACAGCACCCAACGATCGTTTACAAAAAAAAAAAATATACTTTTCCCTTAATTTGTATCCTGAGAGCGCTTTCGCCGTCGTGCCACGAGACGGAGAATCCGTTTGGATTTCTCACAGAGCACTGCAGCCCTCTTCTTGGTTCTTTCGGTAAAGTCACATAAAATGGAAATAATAAAATAAAAAAAAACATAATAAAATTATTCTCACGACGTTTCGGCCACAACGCAAGTAGCCGTCCTCAGAGACTCTGTCTCTTCGACAGACCTGTTCTCCACCTGAGGACGGCTACTTGCGTTGTGGCCGAAACGTCGTGAGAAATATTTTATTATGTTTTATTTTTATTATTTTATTATTTCCATTCTACGTGACTTTACCGAAAGAACCAAGAAGATGAATCCCTGCAGTCACGAAAGCTTTAAATCGAAATTGAATTATTTTACTATATTATTTGATTCTATTAGGTTTTATTTTATTATTTTATTATTTCCATTCTACATGACTTTACCGAAAGAACCAAGAAGATGAATCCCTGCAGTCACGAAAGCTTTAAATCGAAATTGAATTATTTTATTATATTATTTGATTCGATTATGTTTTATTTTATTATTTTATTACTTCCCTTCTACGTGACTTTACCGAAAGAACCAAGAAGATGAATCCCTGCAGTCACGAAAGCTTTAAATCGAAATCTACACTGCAGCCCTGTGTGTTCAAGAATGGCTCGTGGAAGTGGACACCACAGAACTACCTCTGATATCCCTCTGCTCAGCAGAGCTCTTAATAAATCAAAGTTGCAGTGTTTATAGTTGTAAATATTATTAAGTGCTTATGTCAGTTTTTGTGAAATAAATAAAATACTAGTACTGCTCACGTATTTGCACGGGATACACGGCCCGGGGTGGTGGGTGGTGGGGATTGGGGAGGGGAGGCGCGATGCAAGAACCCGACTCAACGCTGTGGGATGCGGGCGACGTCATCGCCCTGCACTTGCCTGCCCGCACGACAACCAGCCAGCAAAACTAAACAAGTAAACCCGTAAAAACAAAGTTTTTCACTATAAATCCTTTATATGCGTGGCATCGGGGCGGCTAGAGTCCTCTCGTCCTCTGGCTTGAGATGGCTGCCACCTATGGGTCAGATGATTGTCTGGCAGCATTAAATAATTGGTAATGAAATATTTAAAACATTTTCCCTAAACAGTGTAAAATTTTGGATTTTTTTCACGAAAATGCATTGTCACGCACAACGAGTCTGTGTGCAAAATGTCAGCTCGATTGGATCACGGGAAGTGGGTTAAAAAACGACCGAAAGATTTGCACGGTCGTAAGCGCGCAAGCGAACTTAATATAAAGGATTTAAAAACAATCAAACATAGCACAGGCAGTTAAATTTCGATTTAAAGCTTTCGTGACTGCAGGGATTCATCTTCTTGGTTCTTTCGGTAAAGTCACGTAGAAGGGAAGTAATAAAATAATAAAAATAAAACATAATAAAACAATTCTCACGACGTTTCGGCCACAACGCAAGCAGCCGTCCTCAGGTGAAAACCAGGTCCGTCGAGGCGACAGAGTCTGAAAGCTTTCATTCAGACTCTGTCGCCTCGACGGACCTGGTTTTCACCTGAGGACGGCTGCTTGCGTTGTGGCCGAAACGTCGTGAGAATTGTTTTATTATGTTTTATTTTTATTATTTTATTACTTCCCTTCTACGTGACTTTACCGAAAGAACCAAGAAGATAGCACAGGCAATCCTCGGTTTGTGCGCTTTTGTGGTACACCATTTAGGAATAACGCGCGCTTTACATTTAGACCTTTTATTGACACACGCGAGGCAATTTTCGGTATAACGTCATCCCGCAACGCGACGTACGCAACCCTACCCTGGCACCGCGACCCATTGGTGTTGCCAGCAGGCAGTGCAGTACGATACCAAGTGTACTGCACCGTACAGCATCGTGTACACCCGCCCTCTTCCCTTTGTCTCCACATCGCTACTCCGGCGTGGTTACAAGTCATTAATACTAGATTAGAAGCTTTCGTGACTGCGAGGATTCATGCTCTTAGGTTTTTTCGGTAAAGTCACGTAGGTAAAAATAAAGAATAAAAATAAAATAATAGAAATAAAATTTAAAATAAAAAAATAAAAATATTTATATAAATAAAGATATTTAATATTTATTTATTTATTTTTACCTACGTGACTTTACCGAAAAAAACCTAAGAGTATAAGTCATTAATAACGTATTTATTTATTTTCATCGGAAGTATATTCGACTTCAAATGATTTTCTTTTTAATTTTAAAGTATTATATCGCGTGTACATTTATTGTATTGATATAGCCTAGGATTATATAGGCGGCTATGTGTGCGATAGTGAATTCACCGAACCTCTTATGGGAAAATTGCTTTTGACATCCGCGATTTTCCGGGAATGCATCGATCGCGTATGTCAAGGGGAGCCTGTATGATAGAATGACAATGTCAAAATGTTCAAACATTGTTGGGCACAGTAAAAATCTAATTCTGCACGTGTAATTGAGAGCATATATTAAGATTGTTACCTTGTTTGCGAGTGTACGATGGAGTGCAGTCCGTGAATGCGAGGTGTTATTTGGAACTTGTTGGTTGGGGTATGTTTGTTGCTAAGGTTACGAGGTGTGACTTTCTTTCAAATGGGTGTAGTAGGTCGTTTGAAAAGCAAGCTTTGATTTCTGTGCAATTACATTTCTTCTTGTTCGTGTGAATCTGTGAATTTGTAGTTCATTTATTTAACATTGGCGGTCACTATGGCTAAAAGGGAACCAATCACAGAAGCGACCTTTGCCTAAAATTTAATTGCCCCTTTTATCCATGTGAACAACCCACGTTTGGGTGCGAGTTGGATTTTTGAGGTCCAATTTTGAAAATGTGACTTTGCTTTTCATACAAGTGTAATGCGGGCGTAAACGGCCCTCCGGAGGTGACGTCAGGAGGGGAGGAGTTAGGTCACGTGGGGGGGTGAGGGGTTAGGCTATAGAAGGAGGGGAACCGGAAGAGGACGAGAGTGACGGGGAACCAGGAACAGAGAGAGGCCACGAAGGGCGAAGCGGAGGGTGGCGAGATCGCCACGAACACGGGGAGCGAGGATCGGCACCGTTGGCCAGCGGTGACCGACCCGAAGCAGCGAGGAGGCTGCAGTCAGCAGCGGGGCTGCACAGAGAGTCAGCAGCGGGGCTGCATACAGAGTCAGCAGCGGGTCTGCATACGGTAGCAGCCAGAGGGTCTGCACATAGGGGTAGCAGCGGGAGTCTGCATAGAGGTAGCAGCGAGTCTGCAGGGAGGAGGTTACAGTAGATGAAGCAGAGAGTCAGAGGGAAGAAGAAGCTATAATAGCAGTGAATAGCCGGGGGCTACAAATACAGAGTTATAACAGAGTGCCGTGTGGGTGAAGACGAGAACCCAATAAAAGACACGAAGACAGAAGGAAGTGTCCGAGTCCTTTTATTACACTGGAGTCAGAAGTGAAACGGCATGGTAAAAAAAAACATCTTGTACTTTTTGTGACATGGTATTAGAACACGGGGATTCTTGAAGCACTATGAACCCGGTAACCTCGGTTTGATTTCCGTTTTACAGCCAACCAACGTCAGTGGCATATTATATCTGAACTGTGTCTTGGCACTCCCCTTCCACACTGATCAGCGTGGTGAAGTATGGTCAAACATCCCCCATAACCAACACGGCTTGTGGAGACAAAGGGATGAATATTCTTACGAACAATAATACAACGTCTTCTTGGTTTTTCGGTAAAGTCACGTAGAAGGGAAATAATAAAATAATAAAAATAGAACATCATAAAATAATTCTCACGACGTTTCGGCCACAACGCAAGCAGCCGTCTGTCGGGAAGACAGCGTCATTCAGACGCTGTCTTCCCGACAGACCTGTTCTTCACCTGAGGACGGCTGCTTGCGTTGTGGCCGAAACGTCGTGAGAATTATTTATGTTTTATTTTTATTATTTCCCTTCTACGTGACTTTACCGAAAGAACCAAGAAGATGAATCCCTGCAGTCACGAAAGCTTTAAATCGATAAAAATAATACGTTTTACTGGCAAATTTCAATGACTTTTTAATGTAAGTGGCGTCGTAAAGGCTCATGTTAGAAACGTGTACAGTCTTGTTTAATCAAGCATTTGACTTCTTAGCAAAATGCAATTAAGCTGAGCCCTTAATGAAATGTAACCGACTTGTAATGGGTGTGCATAGTGGAGTGCCGAGATTAAATCTGGTAAACATCTCGCTGATGTGTTTGCACAGCTCATATTAAGCATCTGTTGGCCTCAGTACAAATTGATCATTAAAGACAGCTTTTTTCCCATTCCTTTGGCAGCCTGAGCAACCTACACAAAATGTGGTTTCTGTTTTCATTAACATGACTATTGTGCCGCAATACTTGCAAAGTATGCACAGTTGCATTTCCGTTCAACTCTTAAAACCACAAGTCTATTTCACGCATCTTCTTGATCAAGCGAGCCATCGGAGGTGTTCACATGACTCTGGCCCCAGTAGGAGTCATGTCGGATGCCCATCGCCCGCTCGTGGCCATCAAACGAGATGCCCAGTGCCCTTTTTGAGCTTGGAGATGCTCTGAAGAGTGGATGTAAAATGACAAGGCTGTGCGCCTTTTGGCGTCATCTGGTCCAACCCATGTGAGACTAAGGAAAGCTGTCTCAGGTGTGGACCAATCAACTTCAAGGACAGTGCATATATTATCAGTTATGTTTTTTGTTTGCATTATGGCTGCAGGTATTGTGGTCTATGCAAACATGACTCCTTGTAAAAAAGGTGTCAGTTTTGTTGCCAGATAGAAGGGTAAAAAAACAATTATCATATTTTTTACTGGCAAATGAGGTGACAAGGCTGTTCCTTTTCCGTCCGTTTTGTGCAGAAATCTTCATCGGAGGGAGGAGGCAAAAAAGGCCCAGCCTCAGGATCAAAGGCAGGGGCAGGGCTCGGTGCAGGGCTGGGGGCAGGGCTGGGGGCAGGGCAAGGCTCTGGCTCTGGCTCGGGAAAGGGTGATGGGGAGCAACCTCGCTGTCCTAAATGCGGAGATCCCTGCACCCTCGTGGAAACTTTTGTGTGTGAGTTTTGTTCTACGCCTTGGTTGCACTCCACTAGATCATCCGTCCTTTGTTTTATTCGATCGTCATGTAGACTTACACAAGCATGTGCATGCACAGAGATGAGCTCTATGGCCCCATTTGTTAGAGCAACAAGACTTGCAGTTATAAGATTATGGGTGTAGGCCAAATGAGGTCAAATGAGCCCAATTATAATTAGTTAGCAGCATCATACAGCAAAATGATTACGACCACAAGCACCATTTCAATCACCGTAATCACCACCACCATTATCATCACCAGCTCATTTGGTTGAGCGGCAGAGCTGTATATGAAATGTGTGCGTGTCACCATTTTATAAAAATAAAATGTGGAAAATGACTGAGCGGACTGCAGTATTAACTTGCGTAATGATGTGCCTATCATGATTTATATTTAAAAAATGCTATTCCCGTAAAACATATCCCTGTTTCATTCACTGCTGGTGTAATTGCCATGACGACACATGTCCACCCATGTGATCACTTTAAGCCACCGTAAAAAAAAACACACCAAATTCTAAATGTTGGTGTACAAACGTGCATGCATTTTGCCAGTCATCTCAGTCAGTTAACCCCTGGCACCTGGGTTTGTTCCGTGACCTCTTACCAGCGGGTCTTCGACACTTCACGTGGCCTCAAAGTGCACCGAGCATGGCACAATTTCTGTCGTGACGTCACCGCCACTTAGTGGCGAACAGCGGTTGTTGTTTATGCATTTTGCTGACTGCAAAACAATACTTTTTCCCATATGTTTCCCATGTCGGTGGTAAACGGACCAACTTGCGCGTTCAAAGTTATTGCAAGCGAGATTATTGATGAAGGGCCGCCTCGGTTTACTCCGCCTTTTCGTTCCCGTCTCCCGCGCGTCGCTTTCGCCCGCCGGCGTGCGTGTGAAAAGCAGCGTCGGCACGCTTCGTCAAGTGCGAGAAGTGCCAGCACTTCTATTTGGTGCTCACCGATCCCGATTGGAGACGAGGCCTAAAGGCCTCTGACGAGGAGGAGGAGGCTCCACGTTTCTCCTACCCACAGCGCCCACCACCCCCGCCCAAGAAGGTGAACTTTCTGAACGTTGTTGTTGTTGTCCAGTGTAGTGCTTCTAGATTTGAAGCTTTCGTGACTGCAAGGATTCATATTCTTAGGTTTTTTCAGTAAAGTCACGTAGGTAAAAAATTTTAATTAATAAAAGTAAAATAAAAATAAAATAAAAATCACGACGTTTCGGAGGCAACACAAGCTTCCGTCTTCAGGAGGAACCGTCACAGCACGATAGCTGTATCAAGTGAGAGAAATTCCAAGAACACAGTAATTGTATATATACTGGTTGAGGGTGGGAGGAGCCAAGGTAGGCCCTGGATATTATTATTGTGAGGTTCGGTGCGGCTAAAGCACGCTGATAGGAATGAGCCTTTGTTGTGTAAACTAGGTGCGGATGATGTAAAGGTGCGTGTAAAAGGGACTGAGCCTTTTTATTATGTAGAGATGATGCGGCTGAAATCGCTCCAGTGTAGTGCTATTGTATGGCGATGACTCGGATGGGGCTTCATCCAGCAGTGGATGTGTCATGGCTCATTATGATGATGATGACCAATTGAACAAGACCAAGAGGTTGTTCATTATCACTTTGAGCGCGGTGGCATGGGGGATAATATATTGGTAGATGACTGAGTGTGTGCAATTGTGATGCTCATAATTAAGCCACAGATTGGTTACCGATAACGACACACACACCACAAATACCCAGGATATTTTACGAGTTGGCTTATGTTCGCTTTTTTATAGTTCTGAAATATTTGGTTCTGTTGACATGTGCTGAACAATATTTGCTGAGCAATATATAATCAAGAGCTCCTTGATGAAAAGTAACAGCATTAACATGAAGTAAAAATATAAAAATATCCACACAACACGTGACCAAACACGCCACGTAAATGTAATAGTTCCCATCATGTGAACAAAATCTAGACTAATCACTATATTCAAGACACAGCGCTTCTTAAAATCAAGTCACTTATACAATCCTGTTCCTTGTTGAAATAAACAGGATCACAAAGGCCATCCCAATCGAATATAAAGAAAACCCAAAGAATATACACAAGGGGAGGAGATTCAAAATGTAAAGAAAATTATATGGCATTAAGCAATTTTGTTTCTGCTCGTAACCTCTGTCATCGTGCTTGAAAATAAAATGTTCCAGCCAGGAGAAAAACGCGGTCTTCTCTAAGGGCCTTTATAATTATTTCAACTTCCAGAGCAAACTTTCTGAATAAAATATCGGATGTCCCACCTGAAGACGGAGACTTGTGTTGCCTCCGAAACGTCGTGATTTAATTTAGTTATTTTCATTTATTACTATTTTATTTTACTATTATTATTTTTACCTACGTGACTTTACCGAAAAAAAACATAAGAGTATGAATCCTTGCAGTCACGAAAGCTTCAAATCTATAATTATCGGATGTATGTATGCTGAACTTCTTTCGCACCATACGTAGTCAACCGCGCTCATCCGAGGTGTGATGGAAGGACAACAAACTAAACAAAAAAAGCACCTATAGCTGCCTTATGATGTCTTTGCTCGCGGAAAGATGGGAATTTCCGTGTCTTGCAACACGAATATGTGTCTTGTCTTAAAGGGTGAAAAAATTTACCCGTAAAAACAAAGTTTTTCACTATAAATCCTTTATATGCGTGGCATCGGTTTTATTTAATTATCATTTCTGTTTTTCTTGAGTAAGAGTTTCATTTTTATCACATTTGTATTTGAAATTAAATATGAATTTTTTTTTTCCTAAAAAGTGGAAAATTTAGGAAAAAATTTTTTCACGAAAATAAATTGTCACGCACAACGAGTCTGTGTGCAAAATGTCAGCTCGATTGGATCACGGGAAGTGGGTTAAAAAATGACTGAAAGATTTGTACGGTCCTAAGCGCGCAAGCAAGCAAGCAAGTGAACTTAATATAAAGGATTTAAAAACAAAAAAGATCGCCGAATATCGCTGACACATTACCTCCCCGCATCTCGTCACAGATCAGCGAGTTTCTGGACCTACACGTCGTTGGTCAGCAGCACGCGAAGAAGGTGCTGTCGGTGGCGGTGTACAACCATTACAAGCGCGTGCACAGCAACCTGTGCTCAGTCTCGCAGCAGCAGGAGCAGCAGCAGAAGCAGCAGGATGAGGGTAGCCCAGCTGAGATACAGCCGGTGCTAGCCCCACGTGGTGAGACCTTTTTGCTGAGATTTGACATCCCATGGTGGATTAAGGCAGGCTTGACAGGGCGTGATGTACTTCGGGGACGTTACTTTGTTTGTGTCTTATATTATGTAGCTCGCGGGTATTGGTTAGTTTGAAGGATGAGCCATGTTTGAGTTTTTAATTGGTGTAGATTTGTATGGGCGCGTGTTGGTTGGCTCATCAAATAGCACACGCTGCCCGAGTCATATACTCCATAATTTGTTAGCCTATCTCTCGCTTACTCATTAAGTAACTGACCTACGCACTCATTTACCCAGATTCACTCGCTCACCCACCAGCTTATCGTAACCACTCACGTCCACCACTGATTGAATGATTGACTCTATCACCCGCCCAACAACTTGTTCACTCGCCCAACGCCTCGCTCATTCACTTACTCGCTCATCAGTTCACACTTGGAGTCACTTGCTACACCTCCCGGTGGGAAGGTGAAGCACCCCTCGGAGTGTGGATGAGAGGTCCACTTGAAGAGACTTCAGAAGTGGGTATGTGTCATCACCTTTTATGGGCCATTCTCTTAACATGAGGTGGTGATGCACTCTTAGGAGAGTTCTGAATGGATGCTTCATTCATGGACATGATGATAGCACAATTGGAAAGTTTTGAAATATACAAAATAAAAAACACGATAGTGATGGAAAATATTGTGAGCCCGAGTTAAATATAACTTACCCAGCATATTGCTGCTTGTGAAATAAGGCTTAAGAAGTGACGCTTATGCCTATGAAGTTAAACATATTTGACTGGATAGGACTCGATGTTTCCCCAATTAAATTGTCTGCGATCGTGTTATTTCTCATCATTTAGGATTCCCTGCGGCACATATTTAAGATGAAACCACAACGTTTTAGAATAATTTGTAATTCACTCAACACAACTGATTTGGATACCGCATCTGAGTCAGTGCAGTTTGATTTATGCCTTGGTCCAGTCATTAGTTGAAGATTGATGGGTCCATGTGGACCTCCTTGTTTATACCAGGGGTTGTTTTCTCCTGCATATTGATATTCTTGTTGTTGATGAACCCTGTGTTTATTTGCTGATGCTAGTTTTTATTTTTGGTTATACATCCCCATGTCTTTCTGCTGACTTGACAGTCTCTTTCCTTTTTTGTTTGTTGCAGAAGTAGAAACGGGAAGGCGGGCAGATTTTTACAAGCTAACAAGTACGTTGACTTGATTTCAGCATTCACTCACCTTGTATATCCTGGTACAAATTACACATGTGTACAGTATCAGCGAGTGCCAGTCTGTTCAGAAGAAAAACACAAATTGGGGTTCATTTTTAAATCCTTTATATTAAGTTCGCTTGCTTGCTTGCTTGCGCGCTTACGACCGTGCAAATCTTTCGGTCGTTTTTTAACCCACTTCCCGTGATCCAATCGAGCTGACATTTTGCACACAGACTCGTTGTGCGTGATAATTTATTTTCGGGAAAAATTTCCTAAATTTTACACTTTTTAGGAAAAAATTAATTATATTTAATTACCAATTGCTTAATGGTGGCAGGCAATCATCTGACCCATAGGTGGCAGCCAAGCCAGAGGACGAGAGGACTCTAGCCACCACGCATATAAAGGATTTATAGTGAAAAACTTTGTTTTTACGGGTTAATTTTTATCGACCATGGCTGGATCGACTTCCGGCAGGCGATTCAAACTTGCCACCCTGGTTGAGAGTCAATTGGAATGCGTTCCAATCTCATCAGCTCTGGGAAGCTAAGCAGGTTGAGACGTGTCAGTGCTTGGATGAAGGACCACCCTGCATAACAAAATAACAGTCTGCAGAGGTGTATTGTGGACAGCAGGGGAGAGTGCAGAAACATTCCATTAAAATGTGCTTCTATGATTCCACGTTTATGCTGCCAGCCTTCACCAACCCACAATGACCAACATCGTGGATTGTGGTCAAATAACCCCTACGATCCGCACAGCATGGTGCTGCCCTCATCCAGCAGTGGATTGACAAAGCAGTCGTACATGACACACAGACGCCCCAAAGCATAACCGTCCGTCTTGGCTGCCTAATTAACGTCGGCGTCTCGTTTACCCGCCCTCCGCGTGGTAAATGCTCCGCTGCGGTACGTCGTGATGCCAACCAACCGGCCTTGCCTCCGCAGAGCTGCTGGAGATGACGGGGAGCCAGAAAGTTGCGTCCTCGCCACCGACGATGGGGGGAGCCGCAGGGACGGTGCGCTGGGCGAGCGAGGCCCTGGACCGAGCCAGCGCTGCCGGGATTCACCTCGACAAGAGCAACATCCTGCTGATTGGCCCTACGGGCTGTGGTAAGGGGGCACACGTGTGTATGTGTGTGTGTGTGGTGTATGTGGTGTGGTGTTGGTGGCCACCCACCCCCTCGTGTGCCGTGCCGGCATTCGTAGGTGCACGTTAACAGCACTTGCCCCCCAAAAGTCTATGAAGGCTGTACGGGAGATCTTTGTCTATGTATGGATACGTACACGGTAGTACACTCAAGAACCTGGCGACCCGAGTTGGATTCCGGCTCACGGCCAACAGTAGTGACGATTATTTGAACCCGTCCTGGGCCACCCCTAGGTTAACTCAGCCTCAAATGAGTACCTTGTGCGGTGTGTAAACATCGCCACTAAGGGAGACAAAGGACGGGCGAGCGTGGTGCTGGCCACCCACCCCATTGCGTGCCGTGCCTGCCTTCATAGGTGCTCGAGTACAGCACTTGCCCCAGCAGTCTGTTACAGGCTGTGAAAATGAGCTTTCTAGCTCATCAGATTCCTTGAGTATGAATAAATATTCTGATACTGTTTGTGAAGGCTATACACAGGCAGGTTTTGTTTGGCCTCATAGAGGGGTCTAAATGGATGTGGCAAGGACTAGAGAGGAGATGGGCTGATATGATGCAGGAGGACCTGGAGATGTGTAAGGCTTGCCCTATCACTGCTGCCACCGGTGTTAAGGTCAGACTTTGTGGAGCAGGCTCTTGAAGGACGCTTCTGGGCAGTCGGAAGCAGTCGCTGTCCAGCAATAACGGAGTGCAAAGGAGCGACGCTCACAACGACGGGCGGAGCGCCAGGTGGAAATATAAATGCAGCAAGGTGGCACAGTAGGGGGCACAGGTGGTGCATTTGTCAGTCATCTCAGTAATTTCCACTTGGCGTCGTGCCCCCAAACAGAGATGATTGTCGGTCCAGTGCTCATTTCAGCAGGAATGCACCCCGAGTGTTTGACATACTGAGAGAGACACACCCAGCTCCAGGGCTTTAACCCAGATTGCCGGCAGTGCCGATGTGATCACCTGAGAGAGACCCCAGCACCGGGCTTGAGTTCAAGTCTGCAATAGTGTCAGCTCAGCGTCTTTCATATATCCATTACGAGCACTCGTAGGAATGTATACTCAGCTCGAGGTCATCTTAAATCCAGAGTATCTGTAACTCAGCCCTGGTGCCTTTATAACACAGCCATGCGCTCTTAATAGGCGAGCGTTCCTGTCGGCAGGCAAGACGCTGTTGGCTCAGACGCTGGCGCGCTGCCTGGACGTGCCGTTTGCCGTCTGCGACTGCACGGGGCTCACGCAGGCCGGCTACGTGGGCGAGGACGTGGAGTCCGTGGTGGCCAAGCTGCTGCAGGACGCGGAGTACAGCGTGGACCGCGCACAGCAGGGTGAGCGAGGCCTGGCCTGGAGCTTTCTGCTGATGGTTTTTATCTCTATATATATAAAAGGGAAATTTGTGATTATGTGTGTCTGTTCGAAATGTTTAGCATACTTCCCGACATGCAATAAACTTGAAATGTGGCATGTGGGTAGCTTCCAGACTGTACACAATGAAAAAAGTATAAAAATAGACTTGTATTTTGGGGGGGGGGGGGCGCAATAATGTATATATTTTGCACGGCAAGTGAGCGGTGACGTCACTTCTGTGATGTCACCCGCATGCGGCAGCGTCACGCAGTGTGCCTGCTGACGTCACGCCCCCCCCCCCCACCCTCCGCGTAGGCCGTGTGTTAATCTAAGACAAGAATCCAAGTCTCCGGCGAAGCCGGGTAGTAAAGCTAGTTTATATATATAACAAAATGAAAGATTCAAAGAGGAAGAATAAAAACAACCCCGCGAATGAAAAAAGTCCCATGGCTTGTTTTGAAGAGGGTCCTCCTTCAAGTTCAAGTTCATGTATTAGGTATAGCCCTGTGAGCCATTCGGCTCTTGAATCGGGTGCAACCGCAACAAGCAAAAAACAAAAACATGAACAAAAAACATCTTAAAGTGAATATGTGACTAAGTGCAAACAGAAAATCCAAGAAAAGACAGCAAAATATTGCAGAAAAAAACACCGTACACCAACCTTGAGATGTTTGGCCAATATCCTTATAAAAAAATCAATCCCACGGTAGCCGAGATGTTGACTACCTCGCCTGGTATAAAGGAGGTCGTGTTCTTCCCATGGTTGTGTGGATTTTGCTCCGATGCCTCCGGTTTTTCCCTCCACTTTATAATCAACGCGTGTTTAGAGCATTTGGCAGCTTGCAACTTTCACGTGATAAGCCACTTTTGTTGAGCTATCACTTGTGGCCAGGTCGCTACTGAAAAAGAGCTATTACAGCTCAGTGGGCCTTACCTGGTAAAATAAAAATAGTTTTTAGTTTAGTTTACATAAGGCTTTCAAACTAAATTTTAAAGTATTTTTTATCAGCATTCGCTCTGTTTGTCTGTGTGTCTGTAATGGGGGGCATGGCGCGATAACTCAAGCGAAGATGAACCAATATAAATAATATCTTAGCGCAATGTTACGTTGCTATTAGGGGCTTATCTCAGAAAAGAGACTGCCAAATTGATCAAAGGGTTGCTCAAAGTTTGGCGATTAAACCATCTGTTTTAGGATTTGCCTTGTCGGCCAAGGTGGTGATGTCATATGTCATGCACGCCCCTCATGTATGGCAGCAATACAAATGGCAATAATTTGTCCTTAAGAAAGTTAATAAAATAAATACCTTTCTAAGTAGTGTTGTTAAGAAAATAATTATACCTGTTTTCTCTTAACAGCATCTTAAAATGTGATCACATTTTTTAAACTGCATTCAAATAGTATTATAAGGGGAGGGTGAGGTCAGGAGCTGTTTTTTTTTAAATCACAAGTCACTGATGATATCCGTGCCCAGGAATTGTACTCGGATGTCTGGGTTCATAGCTCACTGCAAAAAACCTCCTGGTTACACCAGCCCACAGGAGATTATTGTGTCTGTCCGTCGTGGGGAGGGGCTGGGTGGGGAGGGTGGGACTGGGTGAGGAGGGGAGGGTGGGGAGGGGCTGGGTGGGGAGGGGCTGGGTGGGTAGGGGCTGGGTGGGGAGGGTGGGGAGGGGCTGGATGGGGAGGGTGGGGCTGAATGGGGGATGGGAGGGGTGGGGCTGGGTGGGGAGGGGCTGGTCACCCTGTGGTGTCCTTATAAAACTCAACGTTTAACCTACTCACACCGGCTTGTGCCCGCCCTCACAGTCGGGCATATTTGCGGAATACACCACTCCGCCGTTGACCCTGGCCATTGATCGAGCAACCCAACGTTCCTACCAGCTCCCTCCGCAAGGAATGTGTTCCCAGCTTTGTATCCACGTTCGAATCTGCACGTGATTCTGCAGTTCCACCAGATGGCAGTCGTGCTCAGTGTAAGGGAGTCTCGTTTTTGAATGAGCAGTTGGGCATTGCTCATCTCTGCTGTGGCCTTTAGCTGGTTGGCAGAAAAAAAATCCACATTGTGGGAGTCAGTAGGGATTTTCTTTTTCATAGGGGAAAGGTTAAATAATGATTCTGTTATGTTGGCAGCAGAGGTTGGTGTAGATATTTTTTGTTTCTTACGTTACTAAGTTCCCACAACTGTTTCTCGTCTCCACTGCACTAAACCGGCGTGAAGTATGATCAAATAATGCCCGCAACCCGCACGGCATGGGGCGGCCCTCATCCAGCAGTGGATTAATTAAAAGGTTGTACGTGTACAATGTGCTGCGGTACTGTAGTGTGTTTCATCCAGTGATGTGTAACGTGTTATGCACTGCAGAAATGTAGTGTCCCTATTGGTGTGATTTTTAACTTGTGGGCTGGAGAGCCTGGTGTTTATTGCTATGGTTACAAGCTGGAGTGCAGTCTTCATTTCTAAGGCAAAATGCTGCCACTGCTTTGCGCAATTGTGTTGGCTTACGTCAATGCCCTGTGTTAATGGCTGTATTTCTGAAAGTTTGACTGTCTGGCTCACGTGACTACAAAGGGTCTAGTCTGAGCGGTCTGTGGGAGTTCCCGCTTCCCCTGTGCGAACACCCCGATATGAAGTGTGAGACATTTTTAAGTTGGACTTAAAAATCTGCAGCCACTCCACGGGGTGATTGCTGTGGACTTCCCGTAAAGTGGTAGTGGTGCTCCACTGTGTTAATCTGCTGAATTTGTTGAACCAAAACACTTAATTTCTTAAGAACAGGGCTGCGTTTCACACCGAGATAAGTGCGTGATAATTATATGCCGTGATCTTGCAAATGTGCCCTTTAAATTTGACACGTTCACGACGTGTGAAATGCACAGAATTTTACCTTGGAATAACAATTTAAGTTGTATTGTATTATAGTTATTATCGCCGCAACTGGTTTAATTTGTGTCACATCTAAACACAAGACATGCGCAGTAAGAAATGTTGTGAAAATTTACACGTAAAACGGCAATTACAACCATGATAACCAGGCAAGCCCCTGCCCAACCATATAAACTTTGAAACATATATTCATTAAAATGAATATATGTTTAAAATGTTTAGTGTCTTAGCTACTAGCGCTTATATTTATGCACTGCTTTAGCTCTGTAATTCCCACACTGAGCTATTTTCACAGGCTTTACTTGTTTCTGATCCACAGGGATAAAAATCATGGACACAGTTAAAAGCGAAATGTCGTAAAGTGTATAAAGAAGTATGGGGGGCGCATGCTTGGAACACATTTATTGGAGATCGTACATGAGTTTTCCACTGTTAAGAAGAAATATTTCAGGACACATTATGAGCAAGAATAATCTAAACTAAACTTTTTATTTTATAAGTTAAGGCCCACTGAGATTTTTTTGCTCTTTTTCAGAAGCGACCTGGCCACAAGTGATCGCTGAATGAAGTGGCTTATCATGTATATACTCTAAACGCATGTTGTTTCTAAATGTGGAGGGAAAAACCAGAGGTCGCAGAGAAAAATCCACGCAACCACGGGGAGAAAGAGACAGGCAAACTCCAAATATACAGGCGTCAGGGTCGGGATTAAACCCACTACGTCCTGTATACCAGGCAAGGTAGTTAACATCTCGCCACCGTGGCGCTGATAGATTACTGAAGCATGTGTGAAACCTTAAATACGATGGTCGCCCTCCTTGCTATGAAGGGAAGGGAGGGGGCAAGGCCAATGGAGGTGGGGGAAGGGGGGTCCTAGGTTCACAGAGTTGAAGTGTTGGGACCAGAAGTTACCTGTGTTCAGGTGTACCAGGAACATCTCAGCACAGCGTGGGTCTGATCTCTTTTAACTGTGGCAACAGGCCTGTGTATCAGCGATCAATCAGGCTTATTGAGCCTGATATATTGCCCGGCGTTTATTTTAGTGCTAATGAATATTGATTTAATAACATAGAGACAGTATTTTAATCAAACAACTGGGTGGTTTATTGGGTTAGCAAGTGTGGCTGTGGGTTTAGGGTTTCACCTAAATTCAATTCCCTGATAATGTGATTGGCGTTCATTAGTAAATATTCCTGATGAATACTTATGAGTGTGGATCTATAAGTATATATGTGTAACAAAGATACGGATCCCCCGTGCAGCCTTCACATATTGCAGGGGCAAGTGCTGTTTGCGAGCAGCTATGATGGCCGGCATAACACACACGCACATACGTACGTGGGGAGCGGTAGCATAGTGGTCAGCGATTCCCGATCACGACCAACTTCAGCGGCAAATATCTAACGTGGTCCTGGGCCTCCCCTAGGTCGACTCAGCCTCAAATGAGTACCCGGTGCGGTGTGTAAACATCGTCACTGAGGAGCCAGGCTGCCGGTCGGGCGTGATGCTTACCGCACGGCCCCAATAGGTGTGTGTGTGTAGGATACACGGGGGATATTTGTCTTTGTCTTTTTGGTAGGTAAATGGCATCCTTTTAAATGGAAGTGTCAGTGCAGCGAGACTCCTAATCTCCAGGGTTGTAAGGCAGACAGAAGAAGATGGTTGATGCTAGAAGAGAAATGAGGTTGCAAACTCATCTGTGTGCAGTCTTTGACCCCACCCACCCACCCCGGTATGTGTGGGGTGGGTTTTTTTTTGCATCCTCTAGACTTCTTCTCACAAAAATATATATTTATGGAATTGGACAAATATAGCCAGCAGGATTCTCCAGAATGATTGGCTTGAGACTCATTCAATGTTTTCTTGCTTCATGAAGAATTGTTCTTATATTGATGAATATTGGGACATTATGGTGCATTAGTAGATGCATGATACACATCCTGGTTGGTGGTAAACCCAGCCTGTTATAGCCCGACCGCCTTTGTCTCCCCAGTGGCGATGTTTACACACCGCACCGGGTACTCATTTGAGGCTTAGTCGACCTAGGGGAGGCCCAGGACCGGTTTAGATAATCGTCACCAGTGTTGGCCGTGAGCGGGAATCGAACTCGGGTCGCCAGGTTCATAGCGCAGCGCGCTAACCGCTACACTACCGCTCCCCACAATACATATAACATACACACTATTATACACTACACTATACACTACACTTCTATACACTACACTATATATTCCACCACTATACTAAGTTGAAAACGAATTTCTTTAGAACTGCTTTTTGTGTTAAGTTTGTTGTCCTTCCCCCGTACCTCCGATTAGTATGGTTGGCTCTATATGGTGCGAAAGAAGCTCAACGTACATACGCATGCATACAACTGGCCGACACCATAGCAATGTGGATTTTCTACCACGGGCTCAGAGGCACCAGTGGAGAGTTGCGTTGCCCACACTCACTGGAGCAGGGAGACACGTGGACTGGCGATCGTACAATAACCATGTGGCTGCCGTGATGTGTCTGTAATTGTCGTCAGGTATCGTCTTCTTGGATGAGGTTGACAAGATCGGGAGTGTGCCAGGCATTCACCAGCTGCGAGATGTCGGAGGAGAAGGTGTGCAACAGGTATGCTTGTGTGTGTGTGTGCGCGCGTGTGAGAGAGTATGTAGGTCGACTCGGCCTCAACTGAGTACTTGGTACGGTGTGTAAACATTGCCACCCCACCTCAATGTGTGCCGTGCCGGCCTTCATGGGTGTTCGCTAACAGCACTTGCCCAAAAAGTCAGTTATGGCTATGCGAGGGGATATTTGTGAATGAGAGAGTCAGCCATCTTAGTGATTTTGACCCCTGACGCTTGGCCCTGTCCCTTGATCTCTTGCCAGCAAGCGTGTGACACCTCACATGGCCTCAAAGTACATTTAGCCGGGCACATTCGCCACCGTGACATCACCGCCACTTTGTCGTGAATTGGCGGCTTTTGTTATTTTTGCAGGACAGTGCTGAAATAATTCCTTGATTAAATAGATTAACCACTAACAGCACTTGCCCTGACAGTCTATGTAGGCTATATGGGCATTCTATGTCTTTTCTTCACGTGACTGTGTGTGCATGCATAGGTGTGTGTGCACGTTGGTATTTGTGTGCGTGCACATTTGTATTTGTAAGTGTGTGAATGCACGCTTGAATCTCCGCTCATCTTCACGTATTATTTTTTCATCGCCAATAGCTAGGTGTGATGGTGGCTGTAATGGTCACAGTCTCGCACGTTGGGAGCCTGAACAGTATATCATAGTCTCTGCATGAGCCACCCACCTTGCTTCTAAAGTGCTGTGTTATTGGCGTGCAAAATCCCCCACACACGACTTGCATTTCCTCTGCTTCTGACAGCGGGAAAATCCTGACCTTCACACTGGCACCGCTTCACAAGATAAAGTTCCCTTATGACAATATGCCCTTTGAGTGTGCCCTCAAACACTTAATTAACAAAGGCCAGTGGCATTACTTTTCCCACTAATTGCACACTGTTGTTTTCTTCACCTGAGTTAGGACGTACCAAACAAGGCGGCTTTCTTGAGGACGTGCGTAATTAGACACAATTGCAAAAGGTTAAATCAAAGTGTCCCTTTGTTAAAACTGGCATAGTGATTTTTTGACCTATCTGTGTGGAGTTTCAGCATTTTCCCCTCTTGTGTGTGGGTATTCGCCAGGTATTCTGGCTTTATCTCACATGCAATTAACTAATTGAAAAAATAATGGTCAAACACACTCAAGAAAAACCCTCCTGAAATAAAAGTTTCACGACTCGGTGAAGCTTGTGTGGATAAATAAAGGAGGTTGTTCATTCTAGATTTGAAGCTTTCGTGACTGCAAGGAGTCATTCTTAGGTTTTTTCGGTAAAGTCACGTAGGTAAAAAATTAAAATTAATAAAAGTAAAATAAAATAAAAATCACGACGTTTCGGAGGCAACACAAGCTTCCGTCTTCAGGTGGAACCGTCACAGCACGATTGCTGAAGACGGAAGCTTGTGTTGCCTCCGAAACGTCGTGATTTTTATTTTATTTAACTTTTAGTAATTTTAAATTTTTACCTACATGACTTTACCGAAAAAACCTAAGAATATAGGTTGTTCATTATTTTCCACTGACCAAAGCATCCAGAATGCACCTGAGCTCATCGAATCTCCGAAGATAAGCAGGACTGAGCCTGGCTAGTGCTTGGATGGGGGATCACCTTGAATAAACAGGGTGTTTTAGGGCGGCAAGGCCATTTGGATAGCAGAGAGCAGTGCAACAAAATCCATTGCTACACTGTGCTTCTCACCTCCCATGTCTCCGCTGCCGGCTTTAGTATGACGTGGGGAGGCCCTCATCCAGCAGTTTAGTCACAAAATGGCCATAGATTTACGTGCCCTTTATTAACACGCTACATTCTGGTGGTTCGTTGTCGTTTTTCTCTTCTTCTCGGCAGGCTCTGCTCAAGATGCTGGAGGGTACGGTTGTTAATGTGCCCGAGAAAAATTCACGGAGACTCCGCGGAGAGACTGTGCAGGTACGAACGCATTCGCATGAATGCATGCGTGCATTTGGGGAGCGGTAGTGCAGTGGTTAGCGCGCTGCACTACGAACCCGGTGACCTGAGTTCGATTTCCGCTCACAACCAACACCAGTGACGATTATCTGAACCGGTCCTGGGCCTCCCCGAGGTCGACTCAGCCTCAAATGGGTACCTGTTGTGTAAAAACATCGCCACTGGGGAGACAAAGGCAGTCGGGTATGGTCCTTGCCACCTACCCCCTCGTGTTCCGTGCCAGCCTTCATAGGTGCTTGCTAACAGCACTTGCCCCAACAGCCCGTTACAGGCTATACGGGGTAGCTTTGTATCTGCGTGCCCCGTGCATTCTATGTTCGTGCTTGTGTGAGCGCGCGAGTGTTTTGGCGGTAGGTAATCAATATCGTGTTTAACGGTGCAAAAATCTCATAAATGCAGTTCCTATTACCGACCATCCCTATCCAGATACAATCATGTTTCTTTACCTGTCATGGATATCCACTGTTTACTCAGCCGGAAATGTCCAACCAGTTCCGTAGTGTGGTGGTGATGGTGGTGGTGAGAGCAGCTGCCTAGCAAGCAAAGTCGGCAAGGTGTGATTGGATGTCGTGGTTGAGGAACATTCGGAGTGTTTGCGAGGCTTGCGTTGATGTGTTATTGTGCACAGGTTGACACAACCAATATTCTTTTCATGGCGTCTGGAGCGTTCAATGGCCTTGAGAAGATTGTGAGTCTACGCAAAGACCAAAAGGTAATGTGATAACCGTAATGATGGTGTTGGGTAATGGGTGGGTGGCTCGGTGAAATCACAATGGCCTTTGCCATCATGTACCCGGCACCAGCACGAGTGACATAACGAGTCATGAATACATGAATCATCTAATAAGTGCAAGGCATTATTACTTACAATTCATGCGGAACAAAAGATTGAAAGTGAGCAAATAATCACGGAGTGATGCACGGTTATTATGACACTGAGAGACAGGAAGAGTCACGAGTGGACTGTAGAAAATACACAGGTGAGAAGCCTCATCGTAACTGTAAAGAAAGGTAAGTGGGACTTGGGTAGGACACATCGCTAAAAGTGATGACGGATTGTAGTCGAGACTTGGTGTAGTGGCAGGCAAAGGAAGGAACACAACAAAGAGGACGTTCACCATGGAGATGGAGCGATGAAAATGAGCTCGCATGCAGTAGCTAGGTGGATTGTTCCTTCGCAAGTGCACGAAGAAGCCTTCACGATGGCTACTTTGTGCGCATTTTAAAGTCTTTCTACCGTTTTCTTCACCAGTGCCAATGTTTCTGATGCGTGTGTCTGTCGCGTTTTGTCCCAATCAGTGCCTATTGTCACGTAACCCGTGTTTAAACCAGGCGAGAACCCACTGAAAGTAGCCATCTAAAGGAAGATTGGAGGAAATTCAGGGAAAAGTACAGACTTTTTCCCCTTCCTAAATTTTTATTTTATATTCTAGAGTCAAGAGGGGCCCAGATTCGCTTCTCTATGAAAAAAGGCTGAATGCGTCGCCTGGCCAATTTTCCCCCTTTGTTGGTGATGGAGGCATCGGCGCATTTGCACAACAACAACAAAAAAAATCAGATAGCGGGTCGGGAAGTCCATCTGGCCCAGAGCGCATCTCCCCCACTCTCAAACAAGCATGGGGCGAACACTCATCTTCTCTCGGTGGCTGTGAGCCAGTGCTGGAAATTTTACATTCTATGGCAGAGGCCCGTTGTCTCCATAGGATATTCGCTGTTGACTTGCCGTGAAGTGGCACTCTGCTACAGGCAGACACCAGATGGATGATGGTGATGATAACGGGCCGAATCGACTTCCACACGGGATTTGAGCTCGCCTCTTAAATTGCCAGTCGAACGCTTTCCGTCGCAGCATCAGCTTTGTCTCAATTAAAAATTCCCAACATTAAGAGTTGCGTTGCCGTGCTCACTGTAACAATAAAAACAACACAAATACTGCCTTCGTTGCATTCGACCTTTGCCCGCGCAATCTGCGGCGACGGTTTGTGCTATTGTTTTTGCGCGATCGATTTTCGAGGCGCGAGTTCGTCCGCCGTTTAACGGTATTAAGTCTGGCGCCGGCGTCGAGCCTGTAACCCTCTCGCCGGTCTCTCCTCTGCTCGTGGGAATCCCCGTAAATTGCCCCTGCTTTGCTTGCACTCCACATTTTGATCGTGCTAAGTCGTCCTGGCGCGCGCGTCACGCGACGTCATCGAGCCAGCGCGCTGTTTCGCGAGTCATCAATTAATGAGTCGGCCGGCCCGATGTGATTGCCATCGGCAATCAATGCGGACCGCGGCTGGGAATTTTTACTGGTCTCTAGCAATAATAGGCTTATTCGCGACATTGATCGGCGGCACTGCCGCCACGCAGTGTATGAATCAGCCGCGTGTTTGGAAAAGGCTGTGCACGGAATGGACAAACAATATGCATCGCGCTGTAGTTACTGGTACATGTGTTTATATTTCGCATTGTGTCATAGCCGTGTAACAATCAATTGAAAGCGATCCATATGTTCACAATGCATGCATCAAATCATATGCGAGTATTGATCGTTTACAAATCAAACGATAATTTACAGCCGTTGCATGAAGGCCTTCCCTGTTTGTGCCAGTCACACAACCTGGGGGGGGTCCCACACTTTGTTGGCACCAGTGCACATATCACTCGCCACTGGTGTTTGCTGGATTTGAACTTGGGCCACTGGGTTAATAGTGCAGTGCACTAATCATCTTATGAGTGCATGTCCTACAAAGTGCACGAACAGAGCTTTACAATAAATACAAATGGCAGGGTTACATTTTAGGGTTGCATGAAGGTGACCTTTTTTTTTACTGAATGGTTGAAGGTTTACTCTAAGTAATGTTACAGAATGCATTTATTTTGTTTGCAGGCGTATAGACTCGTCAAGGTTGTAACCGTTAAAAGCTCAACACAACGCAAACCATGCGTGTATTAAGTTCTTTCGCAGCATTTCATTTGCAAATACAATGAGACTGCACATGGTTATTTTTTTTACATCATCTCTATGGATAAAAAAAACAATGTTTTTATTACTTTACTGGAAATAAATATATACGAAGAGTTTTCAAATCAGTGGTATGCTAATAGATGATGCTTGGCCTCTACGTTGGAGACCTGATCTGGACGGCATTGCTGATAAACGCAATTGACATTATACCCTATGAAATGTAAGAAGCAACGCTACGCCGCATCAATCCATGTCGATAGCAATTCCACGTTCTTGCCGATTTCCCCTATTGTGAATACAATGAGTACAGAGCCTGGGATTCAATCTGCGCAGCGGGGATGATGGGGTCCACGCAACCCTCATGTCACCGCGACCGCCGCCATCGTCGGCATCGGCGGCGCTGCTCGGAGGAGTTGCGTCTGACGCTCTGTGGGAGCAGCACGAGAGGGATCGCTTGGTTCGGCAGGCGAGTGCTGCTTGTCCCCCTTGGCGGTGGTCATGGTGGGGATGGTGACATGTGTGTGTGGTCACGACGGTGGTGGTGGTGGTGACGTCTGTGTGGTCGCGATGGTGGTGGTGGTGGTGATGGTGACATCTGTGTGGTAGCGACGGTGGTGATGGTGACATCTGTGTGGTCGCGACGGTGGTGATGGTGACATCTGTGTGGTCGCGATGGTCGCGATGGTGGCGATGGTGGTGATGGTGACATCTGTGTGGTCGCGATGGTGGTGATGGTGACGTCTGTGTGGTCGCGATGTGGTGATGGTGGTGATGGTGATATCTGTGTGGTCGCGATGTGGTGATGGTGGTGATGGTGACATCTGTGTGGTCGCGATGATGGTGATGGTGACGTCTGTGTGGTCGCGATGTAGTGATGGTGGTGATGGTGATATCTGTGTGGTCGCGATGGTGGTGATGGTGGTGATGGTGACATCTGTGTGGTCGCGATGTGGTGATGGTGGTGATGGTGATATCTGTGTGGTCGCGATGGTGGTGATGGTGGTGATGGTGACATCTGTGTGGTCGCGATGGTGGTGATGGTGACGTCTGTGTGGTCGCGATGGTGGTGGTGGTGATGTGACCTTGATGGTGCTGATGAATTTGGTGTTGATGGTGGTCCTGGACTCGATGAAGATGATGTTGATGTGATCCTTGTTGCTGCTACTCTTGCTGCTGTTTGTTGAGTTTGGCAGGTGAGGTAGTGGGGATGGTAATCATAATTTATTATACTTGGGATAATTTTTTTCAATATTTTTTGTTCCGATTTATCCAGGAACACCTTAATGAGCCTCATGACTCTTTTTCAGGAGGGTCCTGCCCAATGTTTTTCAGTCGGGGTCGAATGTTCTATTTTTTTAAATATTTTTAGATATTTTTTTTATGTTCCGGTTGATAATTTCTCAAATGTGGCAAATGTGGACCACGTCTCCGGCACACAATGGCCTACGCTTGACGTCGCGACATCTTGAACGTTCACTGTGAAGTAGATGGCGTGTCTCTCTATGCCTAATACGCCCACAGTGTTAGTGGTGCTGCCAGCTCCACTTCCAATGTAGCTATTGAAGATGAAGCTGCTAGGACTGAGGATGCTCATGGGCGGTGGTTCGACAGTGGTGTGCTTCTGCTGCTTCTGATGATGGTCACGATGATGCTGATGCTGTCGCTTGCGATGATGATGATGATGGTGTTTGCTATTTCTAGATTTGAAGCTTTCGTGACTGCAAGGATTCATACTGTTAGGTTTTTTTCGGTAAAGTCACGTCGGTAAAAAAAAATAAAAGTTAATAAAAGTACAAATGGAAATAAAATAAAATAATAAATCACGACGTTTCGGAGGCAACACAAGTCTCCGTCATCAGGTGGGACCGTCACAGCTAAATGCAGTAAATTTAGCTGTGACGGTCCCACCTGATGACGGAGACTTGTGTTGCCTCCGAAACGTCGTGATTTATTATTTTATTTCCATGATTACTTTTATTAACTTTTAATTTAATTTTTTTACCTACGTGACTTTACCGAAAAAACCTAACAGTAAAGTGTTTGCTATGTTGGTGATGCCAATGGTGATGCTGGTTGCAATGATGATGCTGCTTGCTACGACGATGGTGTGATGCTGCTTGCTATGATGACAACAATGGTTATGTTGCTTGCGATGATGATGATGATGATGATGACGATGGTGCTCCTACTGCTGCTACTGCTGCCACTGCTGCTACTGCTGCCACTGCTGCTTCTCCCACCACTGATGATGCCCCCTGTGCCGTGGCCATCCTCAGGCGGAGGCGCGCGACCTCATCGAGTTTGGGATGATCCCCGAGTTTGTGGGCCGCTTCCCCGTGCTCGTTCCGCTGCACGGCCTCGACACGGCGACGCTCGTGCGCATCCTCACGGAGCCACGCAACGCGCTCATCCCACAGTACCGCACCCTCTTCAGCATGGACAAGGTGAGGCACGGTGGGGGCGGTGGGTCAGGGGTCAAGACCGGGGTGGAGCGCAGATGATTGGTCGATTAAAAGGTGAAGGTAAACCTACAGCCCAGCAAATTGTTCGCTCGCTCGTGTGAGCAAGCAATTCTTTGCGGAGAGTTCCCGCGCTACAGAGCTCCCTGATGGTATGGGGTTATCGCATAAACACTCAAAGGTGCAGATGCCTCACATGGGGTTATAGACTTTTGGGGCAAATGCTGTTCGTGAAAACCTTTTAAGGCCGAAACGGTGCGTGAGGGATTGGCGTGACCAGCACCACTCTGCCTCTGACTTCCAATGCTGATATTTACACTTCACAGTTGTACTCATTCAAGGCTGAGTTGACCTCGCCGGGTCCCAAAAGAAGTTCAGGTATCACTTTCCACTGATGTCAGCTGTGGCAGGCAATCGCAGTCGGTTCGACTGGATGGTAACGCAGTGCCGCGAACCATTGCACCGCCAATTCAAATGTGAGAAAGACACGGAAATCTATCACGACAGAAGCATTAATGCAGGCTGGAAACAAACACGCATTGCACCCCTTGGTGTGTTGTTAAATCCATTGCACCATCAATCACGCAACAACAGTCACCGTTTCTGAGTAATCCCCAGTGACATCGCTACACCGCTCATGCCAGGCCAGGTGCATTTCGAAGAGTTGGCGATACAGCGCCGACAGGACCCGCAGGTGTTAGGGGTTTGCTCACAAATGCACAGACCAACACAAATACGCTCACTCGCTCTCGCACCATTTCATTAGCCACCTTTTTCCAAAACCTCTATTAATGTCATAAACTGGAACCCTCAAGACAGAGATTCAATTAATTTACAAGCTGCGATTCAGCCTCCCCTCCATTTGCCACGGCGATGTACCCTGCCATTAAACCACAGTGGTCCATTAACTCGGCGCGTAACACATTGCGCGCGAGTTTTGTTTTAATTGAATTGTCCAAAGGTTCTCCTTTTTTTGTCTTTCATAATGGGTGGCAGTAAAGCACCTAAAGTGGATGCTTGATGTCATTACCATTGCTCTGATTTATATAATTCCACACAGAGCCATTGTAATATAATTTTGTGTGCCTTTTAGTTGCTTATTTAATATACTAGCAATCATAAATCCTCTTAGGTATCGAGTTGTTAACTCGTGCGCTTGTTGGATCTGCATAATGGCAGAATTCCTCTCGTCTCTTAGATTTGTTTCCATTAAACTCTGAAACTAGTTGAAGCGCTGGTTTGCAAATCCAAAACAATGAGATGTTGTTATTTTTCTGCCAAAAGATAAACCCAAATAGCATTTCATGTTTCAAGTAATAATGAAAAAAAAACTTTTGCTTAACCTATGAATCCCCATTTAGACTGGTACCGAGAGAACGTAAGTAAATATGATAGGTTTAGGATCACATTCAATATGTAACTGCAACGTGTACTTAATAAGACGTGGTTATGGTGCTGATGATTGTGATGCTGGTAGTGATGATCATGCTGATGATGACAGTAATGATGACTGCTCATCGCGATATTTATGATTGACACTTGTGTCTGATGATGACATAGATTGATGATGATGACAATGATGCTGCTGGTGATTTTTATGATTATGATGATGCGAGCTATGGCAATATTAATAGTGCTAATTTTATGATCATGATGACACAGTTGAAACTGCTGATGATCATAGCAGGACTTAGGTTGCTGCTGTGAATATGTTGATGGTGCTGCTGAAGATGGTGGTGCTATTCGTGCTGCTACGACTGCGGCTGAAGATGATGCTCACTGCAGCGGCGATGATGACAACTTGTTATTTCGTGTTTCCGATGACGAACGGTGATGATGATGATGATAACGGCGGTGTTTTTCCTGCGCCGCGCATTCACTCACTGTAACAGAAGCCTCTTTTTTGTCGCCTTGTGCCTAGTGCGATCTGTTTGTGAATGAGGAGGCACTGACTGCGATCGCTCGCTTGGCCCTCGAGAGGAAGACAGGAGCACGTGGCCTGCGCTCCATCATGGTAACCCCCCTCCCCCCACCTGCCACCTTTTGTGTCCACGAGCTTGAGTACCTGAAGGCAGAGGTAGCAAACGGGTTTTGATTCCTTACCCGTACCCGGCCGCACCTGGGTCGCAAACGGGTACCCTACCCGATACCCGGCTACCCGTACCCGGCCGGGTATCGGGTAGGGTACAGGTATCGGGTACCTGATTGCGACCTCTGGGATGAAGCCATGTTGCAGGCGCGGGTGGGTTGATTCTAGGAACTTGAATTGTGAGAAGAGACAAGACGTTGGGAAATGAGTGACAAACAGTTACTCACCAGTGACTCACGGTCTACCCGTACCCGGCCGTACCAGGGTCGCAAACGGCTACCCGTACCCGGCCGGGTACGGGTAGCCGGGTATCGGGTAGGGTACGGGTATCGGGTACCCGGTTGCGACCTCTGCCTGAAGGCCAGTGATGAAATGAGTACCTCAGGTGGAAGTGTTTTTTTTTTCCCATCTGGCTGGGCAGCTCTGTTTAGAGGGTGCTTGGCTTGTAGTTGGAACGTTGTGAGTTCAAATTCCATGTGGGGTCAGAATCGAAATCTGGAGGAATTGAATGAGCTATGAAGCTATTTTCACGGATGTCGGATGTTGAGACGTTAACTCAGTCCATCATCATCACCCATTGAGCGTCGGCTAAAAATGAGTACCACTTTGTGAGGTGTCAACTGTTTTACTGTGAAGTTACTGATCCTCGCCAAAAGAGTATAGAATTTACATCACTGGCACAGCTGACGTCAGAATTGAGTGATAACTTAACCAATCATGGGCTCCCCCTTGACCAGCCTGCATTGGCAGCGTGGTGAAGTATGGTCCAACATGACACAGCATGGGGGGGGGATCCTTTCCTCCAGCAGTGGATTTAACAAAGGACTATGAATTACACAATAATATTGCGTGCACATACATAGAGCATTCTTTGGTGCTCACTGCATGCATTTTAGAATGATAGTGATTAATCATGGACTGAGAGTCTCCATGTCCACCTGTCTCTTCCCTGCTGTGCCTCTGCTTGTGTCACCCACATTTCCTTGGTGTCAAAGATGACATAGCTCACCCGTGTCTCATCTGTGTCGTCACATCTCACCGTATATGTGCCTCATCTGTGTCTCCGTGTTGCCCTCGTTGTCTCTGTGTCTCACTGGATGTCTCACCCAGTGTCTCACCTATGCCTCTTGTGTTGTCTCCAAGTTTCGTTGGTGTCTCACCTATGCATCTGTGTTGTTTGTGTCTCACCCGATGTCTCACCTATGCCTCTTGTGTTGTCTCCAAGTTTCGTTGGTGTCTCACCTATGCCTCTGTGTTGTCTCCGTGTCTGACTGGTGTCTCACTTATGCATCTGTGTTTTCCGTGTCTCACCCGATGTCTCACCCAGTGTCTCACCTACGCCTCTCTGTTGTCTTCGTGTTTCGCTGGTGTCTCACCTATGCATCTGTGTTATCTGTGTCTCACCCGGAGTCTCACCCAGTGTCTCACCTACGCCTTTCTATTGTCTCGGTGTCTCGGCAGGAGAACCTGCTGCTGAACGCGATGTTTGAAGTTCCCAGCTCGGACATTGTGGCGGTGCGCGTGGACGAGGACGTGGTGCTGGGTGTGAAAGAGGCAGCCTACATCCGGTGGGGAATCATGATCTCATTGTTATCTTATTTTAATTTGATGCGTGGGGAGTGGTCGGGGAGATTAAAGATGATTAAGGCAGCGGCATTTTGTATTCACTCACTCATTCAGTCACTCCCTCATTCATTTACTTATTTATTCATTCACTCACTCAACAGCCGACTTGTTTATGGAAGCTGTTGCAGGCCGACTGTTTGCTGTTCACTGGAGTTCAATGAGCATTATTTCCTCATACACGCGCAACTTTTCCGGGCACACTGGTACTTCTCCCACGTGCAAAATTACTTGATGAGATGCTGGCCAAATGTCTCTAGCAGGACCCTCCTAGTAAAATAAGCAAATTGACTCAGTGGGTAAACAAATGACGCTATTATTGGAGGGGGGGTTCTTCCTATTCTAACCATGAATTTTGTTAAGTGGACGTTTTCCCGAATTGTATTTTTGTTCGGGTAAGAGTGGCTCGTGAGTGAAATACCTGACTCTAAACAAGATTGATTTTATTGATATGAAGCAAGGGATATGTTACCTAATGGTGTATTCAATCCAAACATAAGCCCTCGATATGACATTTTGAATGATCCAAGGAAGAAACAAACATGTTTCAGATTCATTCGAAAAAAGTATGACGTGACGGGAAATAACGTCACTTGTATTCTGAAAGTTCCGTGCTTTTCCCGTCATGCAGAATCGGGTGATGCCATCCTTGCACGATGACGCGTTACATTATATCACGTAATGTGAATGATGCAAAATTCAGAACAGTATCTCGAACGAGCCTGTAAAATAAAACAAATGTAAAATCATATGTATACGTTTTTTAAAAATATAAAACATATGCATACATGCACACTTAAGTATTTTTTTTTGCAATTGATGTCGAGCAACTACTGAAATTTTACATTGAGGTAACTTGAGCCAGATAATTGTGTCAGGAGTAGCCGAGTGTATCGTCGTGAACTATTTAATGTAAGTCTAAATTAGCATGAATCTTGACTTCAAATTAGCATTTTTAACTTAATGGAACAAACACAGCTTGGTGTGCAACACCTCTGCGCACACTTAATTGAAGTTAATTAGACGTGTTCCTACTGCAGTCACGTGTTTGATAAAATAGACAGAATGCAAAAAAAACATCTATACAAGTTACACCGAGGAGTAAAAAAAACCCACCGTAAATTATTTATTGGGAGCACTTTTAAATAAGTAATAAACATTCAAACTGTTGTTATTGATTAGTGTAATTGGTGAGTTTTAGAATGGCCTTAGAGGCTCAAGAGAAAGTGAACATTTGTGACGCACGGCATCACACGAGCGAGTGGTGTGGCCAGCACCATATCCAGCCGCCTTTGTCTCTCCAATGCTAATGATTATATCCCACACCCTGTACTCATGTATGGATGAATTGGCCTACAGGAGGCTCAGGACAGGTTCAGGTATCATTTGCCACTGGTGTCATCTGGAGTGGGAATTGAACCCAGGTCACGAGGTTCCTAGCACAGTGTGCGAACCACAGCACCAACGGTCCCCACCACGAGAATTCACCCATATATGTACGTACACGTATACAAAAAGACAAAAATCGCCGTAGTGCTTTAACACTGTTCGGGCAAGCGCTGTTAGCTAGCACCTATGAAGGCTGGCACAGCATGCGACGGGGTGGGTCGTCAGCACCATGTCTGGTCTGCTTTGTCTCCCGAGCGGGGATGTTTACACACCGCACCAGGTACTCATTTGAGGCTGAGTCGACCTAGGGGAGGCCCAGGATCAGTTCAGATAATTGTCATGGGTATTGGCCGTGAGCGGGATTGAACTCGGGACACCGGGTTTGTAGTGCAGTGCGCACTACCTTTGCACTACCACTACATTACCGCTCCCCATACACATATGTACACACACGAATCAAAGAACCCATTCATAATATAGGTTTTTGGGTCAGATCGCGTTATTTATAAATGTGTCGTAACCCTCCACCACCCGACACGGCCAAACAGTAAAAAATGTGTCACGTTTGTCAAAGGACAAAATAATTCACTTCTTTAGCCCACCGGTGTGCTGTAGAGAGAATCAACAGCATTTTAAAATTTGACTACAACGTTTCGCTGATAATTACAATCAGCTTCATCGGGCAAGAATGGTGAAGCTCTCCTGTTGCTTCCGGTCTTAAATAGAGCAGCATCAGGGTGACGTCATCATTTAATTCAATTCAATTTGGTGCAGTGATTCGAGGCAAAGAGGGGGAGGGTATTGTAATTATATAGATTGGTAATCATTAAATTGTTATTCATTGGTGTTTGTTTCCCTTATAAGGAATTGTAATTGTATTTATTTAATAATGATTATTTAATGAAGCATACCGGTGGGCTAAGTGAATTATTTTGTCGTGACACATTTTTTACTGTTTGGCCGTGTCGGGTGGTGGAGGGTTACGACACATTTATCAATAACGCGATCTGACCCAAAAACCTATATTATGAATAATATGGTCGCCAAAGTCTACGTGTCAAAGAACCCAATTTAGCCTGATAGACTTTTGGTGCAGGTATATATATATGTGTGCATAGCAACCTGCTAATATTAATTAATATTGTTCGCGCTTGCCGACACACATGCATGTATTTGCCCATGTGCAAATATGCACATACACACAAAAACGCCTCTACACTCGTATATCTAAGTGTAAAACCAAATTCACTATCAACACTGCGGTGCGTGCGTGCATGCAAGCGAGCGTTCTATAACTTAGTTTAATGTTGCTTTTTTCTCCTGTCCGTCAACACCAGCACCAATTCCAAGGAAGGCAGCGCGGAGAAATTCCAGAGGGGAGCGCTGGAGGAAAGCTGGCATCGGCAGGTAGACGCTGCCAGCAGCTGACCTCCTCCCTGTGAGATTTGAGTCGACACTGGTGCGGCTGGAAGCCACTTGGCGGGCGTGCACGTCGGCGTGCGTGCGGGTGGGTGAACGGGGTAAGGCGACGGATGTAGAGGTGGGGGGGGGGAGGCGAGCCCCGATCGCCTGGGCTGTTTGTCCAATTGAAAAATGAACAACCTCAACGAGTAAAGTTCACAATTTAGTGAGTTTGTTTCTAGCGCTATGGCTCGGGGCACACTTTGGTGAGAGCAATAGGCATGTAATGATTCACCCGGCCAAGATTCAGTGGATGTGATTTGCGATCACGATTCAATGTTGTTGGGCTAAATGTAATCTACAGTTGCTGGAGGGTTTGTATGAACTAGTCAGACAACATTGGAAGTGATTCTTCACACACACTTCAATGCACGTATCATCAGCGTAATAATCTATTTGAATGAACAAATCATTACGTGCCTAGTAAGCATCAAAAGTAACAAGTACATTGTGTCCATTGCTGTGATTGCCATCACCTCACGATTGCTTCATTCCTTCTGTATGATGTCCCAGCAGTAGCAGTCAACACCTCACTTCCAAGGCATTTGTAGTCTCATCACCACCGTTTGGTATGCGGGCTTTCATTGTTAATTGAATCGTGGTCTCAAACTTATGGTGATGAGGACAGAAATGCTTGCCTCCCAAGATGGTTTTCATGAAGTTAAGTGTTCTTTTCCTGCTTCAGCCACCCACTATCCCTAGGGGGAATTGCCAAAGTGCGTGCACTGGCTGCTATATACTGAGTGTCAAAGACTCTGTGACACCATTCACAATGGCAGTCTGTTATGTACTATGTCAGAACCCACATCTCAAATTCTGAAAAGTTTATTTAAAATCGCCAAATTGATATTCATTGTATTCACGAATTATCCATATCCAACTATTATTTCGCAGATCTACCTTGCAAATTAACCTAACTGGGCTGTAATTTGGTTAAATAAATATAGGTTGTTGACCCTTGCAATCAGTTAGGCAAGTAAAATAACTTAGGATAATTGGTCAGCACACCCTGCTTTTGCATCCACCAAAGTCTGCAATAGCTGTGGCGTGTTGTATTTTGTAAAACATTTTCATTTCGGTGACTTTATAATCTAGTTTTCATCCGAGGTGTGCACTATAAGTGAGAATTGAGCAGAAATGGGTGCTACATTTACACCGTAACGTTAAAGCCACCGGTGTGAGAGACCGCGTTTGAATTTCAACCTCAGACTTCCTGAACAACATTTCCGGAGCTTGGGTCTGTTTTATGAAGGTGGCAGGAAATGGCTTGTGGTTGTGCGCGTTCCTCACAACCTTAAGCAACGCCGTGGATGCAAAACTTAACGTACGCGGTTTCCTCCAGATAAAGACGAAACACAATGCACGCCACGCATGCAAGGGTACAAACATTTTTACATTCGTGTCGAGGTTATTTCGAATAAAAAGTTTGCCGATTCTTGGTCGTCAAGTTGGCTTTGCAGCCATCCATGACGTTTTAATTCGACAAGTTTTCATGGCACAGCTGCTTTTAGAGCCTGATAATGTTTATTTGGTTATTTGGAGTAATTAATCGGGTTTTTAAAAGAAAAACACACTGATGATATCATCTCATAAACTTGAAGACTGGTTATTTTACTGAGTTTTACGTTGTGTTTTTCAAGTGTTTATTTTGTCATTTTGCCAGACGTTACAAGGTCCTCCACTGTCAAAAGTCTAATTACAAATAGGGCAACGTTTTGTGAATGTTATTCGCCACATCTGCATTTACCTGGGCTAAAACTTCACCGCTGACACTCAGTGCTTTGCATTTTGAAGCATGAACCCACATTGTTGATTTGTTTATTTAAAAATTATCGGGATGGAGGAAACATCAAAAATATTAATGAACCCTGACAGCACGAGAACTACATTGGTGAAACATGTGCAAGCACCCTGTGTGTTGAGCTATGTATGGTTTTTTTGTCATAGTATTAAAAAATGTTTGCATTATCCGCACAATGTAATAGTTGCCTCCTGTACAAGCAATGTTGCAGGACTGATTTTTAGATGGGAATAAAATTTTGTTTGAAAAATGTGTTTGTGATGCTGCCAAGGTGTGCATTCTTTGTTATGTTGAGGCTCAGTTGGGCACAAGTGGTACTTTGTTTTAAAAGCCAAATTAAGAACCACGGTCTGAAAATTAGGTTCAGAAGTTAAACGATTACATACTGTTTGATCTTGTGAATCTATAAGAGAGCAGATACATGTATTTGTTTCATTTAAAAAAAAAATAAACCACAGGATACTTTTTAGAAGAAATAAAGTTTCATTTGACATCAGCCATAGGTCCATAAATTAAATTCCTACGTATTTTGTCTCACTTAAACTTTATGGAGCGATTTTGCCCATGTGGTTTCCCCACATGAGCCAGTCGTGCAACTCATCGTTGTTGCTGCAATTAATGCTTCTATTGGCTGTAGAAGTGTGCTGGGTAGGTAGTTTTTCTGCCAGTAAGCTAAAACAAGATACAAAGAAATTGGTGGCCAAAAACTTATTGTAAAAAGAAATGTCAGTGATCATCACAGCATTTGAAAAACGGAATTCCATTATACAATATACGGCCACTTCAGTTTTGTAAAGTGTAGTGTGTTGAAGGTAATGCTTCTCATTGAGTGTGGAGCGGTGGTAGAGTGGTTGACGCTGCTCTACGTTCCCAGCGATCTGTGCTTGATTCCCGGCCATGGCTCACAGTGAATATTTGAACTGGTCCTGGGCCTTCGCTAGGTTGACTCCGCCTTAAATGAGTACTGTACCTGATATGGTGTGTAAATGTAAGAACTGGGGAGACAAAGGTGGCAGGGCGTGGCGCAGTCTTATTGTGTTTACATTTGCGTGTACTTTGTGTGTTTTAAAGTCCACTTTTTAAATTTGTTATGGTTCTCAAGCAATAAACCTACCTCATTGTAAAAACAACAAAAAAGCAGCCGAGAAATTGTCACAGTAATCCAGAATCGCTGGAAGGATAACATTGAAGGAAACGGGGAGCCTTGACTTTAATTTTGCCTCCACACAATGGGAGTTATTTACTCTGACCTTAGGAGACCCATACAGAACAAATATCGTGCCTGACTGCCGCCCGTTTTACACACGCTCTGGACTTGTCATTTTCCCACGGGAAGCCACAAAAGGTGCCGACTCCATGCCCCTTTTACTCAGCGTCGGGCGGTTTAAATTTTTTTTTAATGTTTAGCGCGAGGCGCTTCAAAACACACGGATGCTGAAAGCAAAGCACATCCGTGACGTGGGCTGTAATGGGTTATTTAAAATAGCCCAAACCGCTCCGGAACCAGTTTATTTATTTATTTTCCTCCCTATCTGGCCACTATTAACGGGACTCAATGTTGTCAACAAACAGGCGGAATTGTTGATGCGTGGGGGTGTAGTGGATGCAGCATTGTCACACTTTCACACCAGCGCATTCAGGAACGAACTACTGGTTCCACTATTCCCAGACTTGTTGGCGGAACCAGTTGTGAACTCCGATGAGGTTGACATGCGTGTGGCTGACGTGAGCTGAGAAGAGACTGGGCGAGTGAGAGATGGAGCGATGGGAATTGAACAGGGACGAGTGTGATTGACAGAAAATTAAGCATTGCAGCTGCCATGGTTCAATGGTGTAGGTGTTAGCAATACCAGCATATATCAGTAAATAGAGAATGGCTAACAGAGATTAGTATATGTTGTGATCATTGTGCTGTGGAGTTTGCATGGTCTTTGTCCAGCAGTAGATAGCTTTGGAATCCATAGGTGTGCCAGTGTCTGGGCCGGTGAGTCACATGTTGCTGGGTTTGTTTAAAAGTCTGTAGAACGAACCGGCTGCCTGCTGTTTTATAAACAGCAGGCTGTCAGCTTTTCCACACTTTATCAATCTAATGAAATAACGTGAAGTGCTTTTTTTATTATTTCACATAGTGTCTTTATTGTAATTCAGTTTTTTTTGGCCAAACAACTTTGCAGAATAAATAATTATTGTAATAAAAATTAAAATGCCAGAAACGATTTCTGTGAACTCTTCTAACAGGTAGTAACGATGCTAGCGTTTAAATATTGACAAACAAAAATGTCATGCGTTGCACTGTTTGCAAAAAAGTGGTCTCTATTTTTCATATACGAATACATAACTCACGTATTAGAGACAATTTAAACATTTTTTTTACCAACTTCGAAGCTTTGCTATAGAATAATGTTTTGCAAATAAATTAGGATGTTAAGACTGTTATCCTTACAATGTGTTACGTTAATTAAACAAAGATGCTCTCGTATATATTTATCTCGGCTGTGCGTTCTGAGTGGCCTCACATGAGTTTGAAGCTTTGGTCAAGAAGAAAAATAGACAAACATTTTTCAAATGTGCCACTGAGGCAATTGCTTACTCAAATGCACGGCTGCACTATTTTAATTGTACTGGGAAGTCGGCAGTAGTTATTTTTTTAGACTGATCCATTCCATAGGATTGTGGAATCTCCACTTCTGGTTCAGCATCACCAGTAGAGATGCGCCCCACCTAAAGCTTGTTAGAGCTCAAAAATTGTTTTTATTTGTTTAGTCTGTAGAGTATACAGTATATACAATTTGTGTAGTCACAAGTAATATTAATTGGGCGTTGGTGCTTATAGCGTTTTTGATGTGCCTCTATGTTTTTTATGCTGTGTTGACAGCATTTATATAATGTGCACTCTAATGATATCCTTTTTAAAAGAATAACATAATTCAGAGTATATTATAAAAACGTAAACTCGGGATTTCTGCGTGCAGAATGCGTTGTAATCAAAATTGTAATAAATCCCCGAAGGGAAATAAGATTTGTTGGTGAACTTTTTTCTGGAAAAAAAAAACCATAAAAAGTTTAAATGAAATGCAATACAGGGAATTTGCCTCTGATAGCGTTGGGGGTTTCAGGTTCGCCTTGAAATTGTGTAAATGTTAATGCATTTATAGAATCTTATTAATGTTTCATTGGCTCAGGCAGGCAGGTGCTTCTCGTCTCATGTGGATCTACTAATAAGTGGTCTCAGAGGAGCATTATTAGCCTGAATTTCATTAATAATTCACATTTAATCCATGACATCTGTTTCGATTTTTTTAACGAGCACAACAAGGTGGGGTGGATGGGGGTGGAAATCATGCATTTGAAATAAATATTGGTCCTATAACCCACTTAATATAACTCCGATGTATGTTATTGCTTAAAGGGAAAAGATTAAATGTGAAATCTATATGGGGAGCAAACGAAAATGGGAATTAAAGCAATGGTGAGAAGGAGAAATACAAGATGTTTAACATTTAATGTCCACGCTGCGTGTGGAGCATTTTGTTAAATCCCAGGGGCGAGATATTGAGCGGGTATCATGGTACATTGAGCGACCTGCGGTGCCACGAAAAAAAGAGATCCATCCGGGTGACGCTGTTCTTAGAATGCTTGCCTCAAAATTTGAAAGTTACGAGTTCAAATCCTGGCCAGGGGTTTATTAAACCCATCATCCTGCAACGGCCATTAAAATATTTAGTGCCTTACCACTTTGTGGAATATAAAACGGTGGGTTTTAATTACTCATTCCCCACCATGTGAAAGTATAATATACACTTTCGATTTAAAGCTTTCGTGACTGCAGGGATTCATCTTCTTGGTTCTTTCGGTAAAGTCACGTAGAAGGGAAGTTTTATTATTTTATTACTTCCCTTCTACGTGACTTTACCGAAAGAACCAAGAAGATATAATATACACTGCTTGTGCAGAGCTGCTGATGTAGATGATTACTACCCTAATTTTTCATTTGAACATGGAGACATGTTAATCAACTCTGAAGCTCAATTCATTTTTTGTTGTTGTTGTACTTATATCTTTCCACTCAAATGGTTAACTGAGTCGCTTTCCCATATTGGGCACACAAAGCAATGAAGTCAGCAATGCCTTTTGGTGAAGTCACCATTCCCATTTAGCCTGGTCCACGTATTGTGATTTTTACAGAGACAGAAAAATGATTATTGATGTGGTATTGTTGTTCTATCATGTGTTGCATCAAGTATTAATATTTCAGGTGACGACAATACCATAAAATCATGTTCTTAGGTTTTTTCGATAGCTATCGTGCTGTGACGGTTCCACCTGAAGACGGAAGCTTGTGTTGCCTCCGAAACGTCGTGATTTTTATTTTATTTTTATTTTACTTTTATTAATTTAAATTTTTTACCTACGTGACTTTACCGAAAAAAACCTAAGAATATGAATCCTTGCAGTCACGAAAGCTTCAAATCCAGCATAAAATCATGGTTTTGTTGATTGTCCAGACGCCTATGGTACCATGTTTAGCTCAATACCTAACCACGGGGTATGCGCTTCTCCGATAGGATGTGATATCGCAGGAAGAGCTCCCACAGCACGTGATGTCACGTAGCTCTATATATCGCTAACCAGTTTTGCCTGAAGCTGAAGGTGGCAAACGCAGTAAGTTTTTCGCTTTAAATTGTCTCCAATCGTGCTGACTTTCTGTTACCACTGAAAAAAGTATTTTGCATGTAGATTGACTTTAAGATGCTTTGGTAGATGATCATTTTTCGATTTAAAGCTTTTGTGACTGCAGGGATTCATCTTCTTGGTTCTTTCGGTAAAGTCACGTAGAATGGAAATAATAAAATAATGAAAATAAAACATAATAAAATAATTCTCACGACGTTTCGGCCACAACGCAAGCAGCCGTCCTCAGGTATAGAACAGGTCTGTCTTTTTATTATTTCCATTCTACGTGACTTTATTGACGGAACCAAGAAGATAGATGATCATTGTGAATTTGCTCCAAACCACAATCAGCACCACTATAAGATTCTCTACCTGTGGACCAAGCTTTACATAAAAACATCTTCCTCCTCGATGTCATAATGCCATGAACCTCCAGTACCACCATCACGCAACGTGGAATCCGTCAGTGTCGGTCGCAATCGCTTCGATGGTGGCGGTGCCGACCTGGCCGCTGCTGCTGTAGAGGATGTGGAGAACTGCAGCCTCGGAAGGGGCTTCTGCAGGGGCGACACGGTGGCCGTGAGTGTCATTGGCTTGCGCCCCGTGGGCTTTGCCCGCGTGCCGTATGTGGCCCTGCTGCCACCGCTGCCTTGGGCCAATGGCCGCATGTGGTGGCGGCTTAGGCCACTGTGCACGTTTAGGGGGTTGTATGTGTGCAGCACCTCCATGCCAGATAGGGCGGTCTGCAACGAGATACATGGGACAGGAAGGATATTGGGGTATTAATGAGGGTATGGCTTGCTGACAAGAAGTTGTCAAATCAAAACTGGATCAAGGAGGGGCTTTGTAGTGTGGTGATTTGGTGGCTTCAGGGTTCTTCTAATACTGGGCTGCCACTACTAACGCGTTAATGGCCTCAGCCAGATCACCCATCACTACGTATAAAGCTCATCACACACCCTTAATTTGGCAAATTGCAGCTCTGGGAAATATTTCTGTTTGACAACTCATAACTGCCTCTCCAGGAGGCCATGTAACCAAATACGATGCTCCTATTGTGGCTGAAGCAATTGAAGGGATCTCAGAAGTAGTTATGTGATATCACCTTCCTGAGATTGGGGTATTGCAAACGGACATTTATTTTTGTCATGACATGACACCAATAACACTGGTCAACAAAAAAAAATCTTTTTTTTTCTGTCCTGGACTTTTGCAGCTGTTTTAGACTAATTTCAGGGTGCTGATTCCAAATCTGATCTCAAATTTGCTCTATCACATCTAATTTTTATGCTATCGGCATACCCCATTTTCATTGATTTTACCCGAAATTAACTCTGTCACTTATGATTGCAAGTTGTTGCGAGTCAGTGACTACTTTAGTGGTAAAATATGGTGCTGTATTTTTAGGATAGTGTGTGTATAATATAATTTTATGTAGATATCCACATTTATTTAATATTTTTCTTCTACAGTTTTTATTAAAAATTCAATATTTGATATCTCAAAAACCTGATGTGATGGACAAAAACTGATGCCAGATTTGGAATCAGCACCCCAAAATTACCTTAAAACCGTCTGAAAAAGTGTATTGACCAGTGTAATCATTATTGCAAATCGAAAAAAAACATTCCTATATGGCATGCCTTAAAATCATCCATCATTATCTTGTAAGTTTTACTAATTTTTCATTGAGACAGCCTGCCTATATTACATGACAGTCCCAGTACAGAACCAGTTGGCTGATCCTGTGTTTAGAGAATCCGATTTACAATATGTTTAAATCTCAGTCAGAAATCATTTAAGCCCTGTATTTTATGTGTGTTGATAAAATTAGTACCACTTTGTGGATACTCACAGGAGTCCTTTTCACAACTGGCTTGAGATTGTAAATGCTTTTTTGAATTGGGAAACAATTTGGCTTTTTATAAATACCGACCAAGTAAAGATAAAAATCATTATTTACTGGGCATTAACTGGTGTGCCCTCGGTGTGGGTAGGGAGTTCTATTGAAGTGACTTCTCAAGTACTGTGATGTCATCTTCCAGAGCCACTCTTAAACAGAGTACTGTGCTACTAACCGCGGCAGCTCTGAATGAAAATAACTTTGTCTCATGGCACGAAACCGAGAGCACAATTTGGAAAACAAATCTAAAGCATAACAAAAACTAAACAATGGAGTTGATTGACATCCAACCAACACTCTTGGCAGGGCATATAGAAGGTGCGCCACCTAGTGTATATAAAGGGACGTCATTATTTCAGCCCTGCGACGTCATCTTTGCAGGTCATTCCCTAACATGTTCTTCACCTCTAGAATTGACACCCATTGCAGTTGAAAAAGTTGAAGTTGAAAGAGGACCTCAGCAAGGTGTCCCCTAGTTATGGGTAAATAGGTAAAGCCATGCTGATAAAACTCACAGCCTGATTCATGGTTTCTGGCCATAACAGCACGTCCACTTGCTATGGTTTTCGAGGTTATGCCTTGCTGATGAGATTCTTTGAACTCAAAGTGGGTCCAACATTCCTGACCGAAGAGAGTTGAAACCAAAACTGTTTCAAGGATTGTGCTCTTAACATCAGGCTACATGAACCTTACATATGATACGTTACTTTGTAGAGAGCAATCATGAGACTAATCAAGTAATAATGTGATGTTCCTTTGAGAATAATGAATGTAGGATTGATACATATAAAACCTCAAGTAGTCAGTGGCAACTGCCTTTTCAAATGCCACTCTCCCAACATGGACAATGGGATGATTGAGTCTGTGTGGTTTTAAAAAGCTTGTTCATACCACAAAGGGCAGCATTTCTAAGGTAACGTTTAAATGTAATTGTACTGAGGCAATTTCATATTTTAAGGGCTGAATCTGGCACATACGCTAGGATAAAACTTATAATGTGCTAGCACGACCTATTAGCTGAAGCTTTATATTGGCATGTTTCATTTTGTTAGATGCCTCATCCACTGCTTTGCATTTGGCAATAGCATCGGCATTGAAGGCGCCAATCTCGTTTCCTTTAACGTCTGAGCAGGAAACGCCAGCATGCATGACAGGAGTCTTGTTTAGCATAGATATTGTGCATTCTACAACTTAATTTCACCATTTCAAAACTTCTGCACTTTGCCTCATTCCATCTGCAGCAACCACAAATACCCAAATTGTCACATCCATGTCTTTTTATTGTTTTGAAGGGTAATATCGTGCGAGCCTGCATTCTCTATCATTTTGAGCTGTTGCTGTGTGAAAAGTATCACGAGGAAGCTGCTTTTTTTTTATCCATCCTGCGATTTTCAGCAGCGTGACGTTAAGTGGCTCCCACCGAGTAATTCAAACCTACCCACCAGGTTCCCTTTTGTTTCCACTCGCACTGCGTTTCTGAGGTGGCAGGTTTTGTGAGCACTCTGTGATCGTTCCTCGGCCAACCCACCCCACTCAGGGTTACAATTTAAAGGCAGGTGGTGTGAAGTGGCACTGTTCTACTTTTAACACGGAATTTTTTGGTTACGGGGAAGTTGAACATTTTACCAAAGGAATCACTTCTGGCTGCCACTTTTGCTGACGCAAATCAGCGGCGATTCGTGTCAGCAGCTCATGCCTGGCATTAAAAGGGAAACTAAATGAAATGGGGTTTTGGAGCGCCGAGCCCCCACTTGCTGTAACACATCACCCTTAGTAATGAGGACACATCTGCTCAACTGCACGTGGACAACACACATCACGTGGGGATTTCTTTGGCTGCTTCCTTCAACTCGGGTACCTTAATTGGACCGTAGAAACGAAACACCAAGTGGAGATGGGTTATGATCTCTAAATCGGGCTCGCTTGGAAGTGTTCGGTTTTGGGAGAAGGGCTCAGAGATGCAAGGGAATTCTTCAGACTTCATTTGGCCAGTAGATGGCAGTAAAGAAAGTAGGTTGCTGACTTGTATGTGCTAATATCGAAGTATTTTCCCCCCTCAAACTGCATGGGTTTCCTCGGTGCACGAATTTTCCTACTCACAAGAATACGGAATGAAAACATCGTTTTGAAAAGGCATCTTAAACGCTCAGCAATTCCTTCCTGGGTAAGTGAAGGATTTGTAAGAGTCTTGACTTTGGGTCAAGTCAGGCTATCATTCCTCTGGGGTTGATATAATTGATACCTCCTCGTTGTGGGAAGTTGAAAGTGGTTTGTCCTATGATGATGATTGGCCCTTGCTTCTAGGAATTAGGAATTTCCAAAACTCGTTTAGGAGCACTGAGCGATGTCTCACGCTCAAGTAGCAATACCATATTTAATGTAAACTTTGCAATTGAAGTTGGAAATGCAAAGGAAGGATTGTATCTACCGAACCCTTACAGTCAGCCTCCGTAGTAACATGTGCTGTTATAGATTTGACTATTCAGACATATGTTACAGCAAGTAGGGTTCTCTTGTCCTGAGTGTAGGCGGCAAGAATATTGTAATAAAATATAATTGTTCAGGAATATAAAAACGTTTAAAGGGGCTCCTGCATTGGAATGCTATATTCTATGCATTTGAAAGTGGACTGAGGTATGCAGATAAAATTAATGCATAACACTCTTACAGTAAGGTTTGAATGCATGCTTTGTGAACCCATTTCTTATACCGACATCCTCTGGGTAGATTGCAGCCCAGCCAGTTTTGTAAGTGTTACAAATATGGACATGTGTAACAAAGAGCTTTATAGCTCATCGGATTCTGTCAGTATAAAATACATATTTTAATTCGGATATATGTTATCCACCAACCCTTGCCTTCTGGCATACAGGGGTACATCTCCATACCTGGTTTTAGACGAGTATGCTAACATCCTGGAGCAAAATATATGTTGGCAGTGTCACACACACGTGGCCAAGTTTCCATGATTATGTTTCTGAATCATACTCAGGGAAAAAGTCCGTAACACTGCAGAATTTAAGTCAACGTCAAAAGCAATGTGCCTACTCTCATGTGATGGCTGTGCGCTTGCTAGGAATGTAAAAGTTTCGCACAAAAGTTATAAATGACATTGTGCAAGAGTGTGTCGATTTCTTTGCAAGGTGACTTGGTGTATTTCCATTGTGATTTTTGGCTGGCAGAAACCAGATTTTCTTTCTGTGGTGGAAATATATTTTGCATGATACAACCCAGAATATTAGATGGGACTTGTGTGTGTTAGATGAGTAGAGGCAATGTCAATGGGCAAACAACCTTCGTGTCACATTTACATAATACATAGGCATACATGAGCATTGTTGATCAGAAATTCTCCCCTCACTCATCTGCTGCGTCTTATTTGGCTGAAGTCTTCAAGTATGTCACGTTAATGATGTTAGCCTGTTCACCAGTGATTGAAAAATAAAAAAAATATATTTAATTTTAAACTGAATTCAACATATTTTAGCTCTGAGAATTGACATTTTCATTTTGATTGATGAGCAATGATCAATGCTGGGCGTAAAAAATCTGTGCCTCTCGTATGTATAAAGAGGCCAATTAAAATTATTTCAGAAGTAGTTCATGAACGTACGTCATTGGAACGGGAAAGGGTTAACAGGGTTAAGTTCAATCTTAATTTTGGAGCTTTCGTAACTGCAGGAATTACTCTTGGTTCTTTCGGTAAAGTCACGTATAAAGATATAATAATAAATTAAATAATAGCATACGACGTTTCGATTGCAACACAAGCAATCATCATCAGCTATAAATGAAATAGCAACAAAAATTCTAACCAGAAAACTATAGACAGACATATAAGCAGACAGATATCACCAAGATACATCGAGAGAGAGTAACACAGGTACGGAGAGGGAGATCGTCTCTGTGGAGTGGCCTTAAATAGGCAGAGGGGGCGGGGGCAGAGAGATGGAGGGGTTAGATAAAAAAATTGACATGTCAATGAGTACGGAAAACGCGTAGTAAAGTACGCAAGTTTGAACATTAGGGTTAAGTTCCCGTACTCGCCTCTATGTCGAGCAGGGCTCCTGGTTCCGGAGTCTCGTGCAGAAGGGGCTGGTTACACGGTAGCAGCAGCTCGGCCACCGCAATGGACTTTATCAGCAGGCTCAAGCCCCCTGAGGGTAGCAGGAGGTAGTAGGCCCGGACTGGGCCCATGCGCAGGGGGCCCGAACTGTCACTTTCACATGACGCAAGAAGCTGCTGACCCCGCACCTACAAATGGCAGCACAGCATTGTTCACTCGCTCGCTCACTCACCTACCTACTCACCCACTCACTAAATGACTCACTCACTTGTCCACCCACTCACTTTGTGTGGATGGTTTTCTCTGGGTACTTAGTTTTTTTCTTCCACATGTTGAAATACTAAATATAGAATTAGTGTGACATCCTAAGCCAGACGCAAATGCAAACAGCATTGGTAAAAAAATGAATGATATATGAATCTACTTTACCGTGACTAAAAAATTCAAACTGTTATAGGCATTATGAAATACATATTTAATTTTAAACTATTTGTGATTCTACTAAATGATAATGATCAAATCATGTTTTAAATGTTAGTCCACACTCAGAATATCTTCTTCGGTGACTTCAAAAAGTACAACATGCCACACAAGTAAAGATTAATCTGTTTTCAGATTAAAAAAAAAATTCTGATGGAGAAAAAAGCGCCACTGACAAAGCATCACGGTGCACTATAAAGTTTGAGGTCTTCAATGGAAATACCATCTGTCTGATATAATGGCCAGCTAAATATACGCATTCACAAGGGCGGCCCTTGGTCACGACCTGTGACAGTGTTGGCAGCGTTAAAATTATAACGTGAAAGGATTTTATATAAAACCTGTGAGAGACCAAGGATGCTGGGATATAATGTCAGGCTGGCTGTATTGGTTATTGACTGCAGAGGTCAAAGTCTCCACTTTCGTATAAAGGCAGTAGCGACGACTCATCCAGTGCCATACGTCTCGGGGAAATGCGACAGTGTCCTTAGAGCAACCGAACTCTCCTTAAAAATGTAAAGGACGCGTGGCTGCCAACAAATAATGCCTTGGCCGAGTGTGTACAGGCGTTGGGGCAGGTCCAATGCCCAGCTCCGGCGTGTTCTCACTTGACCTCAGTGGCGGCTCCCTGGGTGCGCGTGGCTATGCAGCACCAGTGTCAGAACATATTAGTGTTTTCTAAATATGAAACAAAAAAACCTCCTGCCACTGCCGGTATAATGTTTCGCTTAATAAATGCGCGTGGGCTGCTGGTGTGTGCGAGGTCAACACTCATACGGCTCCAGCGAAGCTGACATTTTGAACGCAAATTCTATTGCCTGCAAGGTGACACACACCTATAATCCAGCTGCTTGGAGGTTGTGGGTCATGTGGCATTGTATTAACTGGCGAAATTGTTGCATGAAAAGCCATGAACTACCGTACTCCTCAAAAGACACGAGGACTTGTAAATGTCGTTACCACTAACCCTGACGTTGACTCTGAATCAACATGGCTTACAGGTAAGCGGGAGCTTTATCGCGAGTCGTAGTGGCTTAAGATTACAGGTAAAGTAAGTGGTACCGACGTGGATTCTTTGTGTACGAGTCAGGGTTTTCAGCTGATGGATCGGACGTGTGGCAAACTGCTTGAAAGTCTTAGGATTGTAATGCATTGCTTTGTGTCGGGAGATGAGCTGTGTAAAAAATATGATGCTCTCCAAGCTTTGGATATTTCCCCAGTCTATATTGACCGTGACATGCATTCTGGCTAAATTGTTCTGATGGAAATAGCATTTCTGCTGTAGCGGTGATGAAAGCACGTGTGCAGAAACACTGACCGTGTTGTATTTTACTTTGTCAGCGACATTATCATTTTCATGACCGCTCTTCCACCTAAAGATGCATTGTTTATTGCTGCAGCAGCATTTCTCTTTTTAATGCAGAGGTTTAGCTGGAGGGACCAGTGGCTGAACTGGATTTGTTGTAAACAAATACAAAAAAACCCTCTCTTTAATAAATGTTAAACAATAAATGCTCACAATGATACATTGTACATGAGTCCAGGCCTTTTAGGTTCCAGTGATGCAAAACATTGTTGAATACGATCTCATTTTACATAATAAGAACATGTGCACACAATTAGTGGGTTGATCGATCGGCAGGTAGGTCAATTATTAATAGTGACAAGATACTGCACGCATATGTAAATGAATAGCTAGGCAGGCAAGTAGGTAATATTAGCCATAATGTAAGTAAGCAGGCAAGTAGATATGTAGGAAGGCGCATTAAATGAAGGTTGCACATTGTTAGCATTTATCAGAAACAGGATTTGTATGTGAAAAAATAAAAAGCCACTATAGTTGAAAATGACTCTCATACGGTATGAAGCTCTGCAGTGATAAGATCAACAGCAAATCATGAGGTTGCACCCCGACATAAAATAAGTGTGCAATTCGTTGGTAAGGAACGATGCAATTTGTACTGATAATCGCTAATCATGGTAAAACTGGTATACAATTGCTGAGTAGTCTTAACCCTAGATTACGGCATGGGAGGACACACAGAATTTTAAATGTGCATGCTAGGAACGGAGCAGACCGTGCACATCTTGGTGCTGTGCGTGTTTGCGTGCAGCATGCGGCTCACCTTCAGCGAGTGAGAAAGGGCGTGGAAGTACCGCCTGTTTGCCTCCAGCTCCTCCCAGTCAAGCTTCCAGCAGTTGGTGGGCTTGAGTATCAGGGGCAGGCCGAATAGGACTGATTCGCACACGCCTTCTTCACTCACCGTGCTGCAAACCTCAGCAAGCATAGCCATATTCTTAGGTTTTTTTCGGTAAAGTCACGTAGGTAAAAAATTGAAATTAATAAAAGTAAAATAAAATAAAAATCACGACGTTTCGGAGGCAACACAAGCTTCCGTCTTCAGGAGGAACCGTCACAGCACGATATCTGTATAGCCAGTTTGCACAACCGCAACCACTGAGCCAGTCAGCATGGGTCTTATAGCTGAAATCCAGCCACTGCCCTGTAAGACTATGGTAGATTTACGTATTATGTATGTTGAACTTATTTCACACCATACATAGTCAACCATGCTAATCGGTTACCAAAGCATGCCAGGTGTGTGCAGGTGCATTTTTTTAACTTGGCAACTTGTATTCATGACGTAATTTATTTATGTATATAGGAAGTTCGTGTTGTTGAATGTTTGACCAGTTCACTTTTTAACACGTATTTCGTCTGTGGGAGAAAATGGGAATACTCGGAGAAAGCCCATGCACATGGGGGGGGGGGGGGGGGGGGATAACACTCATAGATCCACAGAGATGGGTTCACTAACCAGCTTGTCCACATCATATCCAAATGAATGTTGGAGTTAAGACAAATCCTGGATTAATGCTGTACACCACCATTTATAATAACTTGAAAGTGGGGTCGGTGGATCATTAAGAGATCAAGTGGCCATCCATGTACAAAGCACATAAAGAGTAATGACTGGCTTGTAGCAGATGTAACAACAAATAAGTTGTTTATAGTTTGAGTGTTATTCACATTTGATTTTTAATCATGGTACCAAATCACCCGGAATGCACCCAATTTCAAACAGAGCTCAGAAGCTAAGCTGATTTTATCCTGAATATTTATTTTAATGAGTAACCACCTTGCATAACAGGGGTTAGAGACTCTGGGGGTATATGGTGCGCACCAGAGGCTAACACAGCAAAGTTAATTATTGCACTGTACTTCTTTGCCCCCCATAATCAATGCTCCTTGTGTTCACAAACCTGCCTGGATCAATGTGGTAGAGCAACATACAACAATCCACATGATCTGCACGGCATGTATCCAGCAGTAGATTGACAAAAAGCTATCTAGTGCACCAATTTCCTCCCACATTTGAAACATTACCCACGACATCTTCATACATATCAATGCAGGACCCTCCTGAAAAAGATTATTTAGAGTCAGTGAGGCTTTCCTGTATCAATAAAGCATTATAATAATAGTTATTTAAATGGAGGAATGTTTAAATCTGATTACCTGTACCTCATTTACCCATATCCTCTGTCGTTGCTGGTGAAATTGACACAGATCGAGTGGTTAAATTGGCGGCAAGGCCAGAACATAACACCCAGCATCCCTTAACGCTGTCACATTATATTAAGAGTGTGTTCCATTACGCTAACCGGCTCAAGTGACTGATGGTTTTTCCCACACAAGGGTAAACCCAAAAATATAAACGTGGTTATAGGCCACTGTTTGCAAATGCATTGTCTGTTAGTAAAAACAAATAAGTGGCCCACTTTCACTTTTAGCAAATCATTCTGTTTGTTTTTGTAATGTTTTCTTCCAATTATATTCAAATTGCACTCTTGGAGTCCTGTCATGGGACATATGGAGCTCCCACAATGAGCAATGCATCACTAAGTGTCTGGGAATGATACCAGAAGGTGACATTACAGACATCGGTGCCCTCAATAGGCTTCTCTATCAACGTTTGGAGCGCACTTTTTATAAGCCATGAAAATAACATTTGTTGGAGGGCCATACAACCAAAATGGTGTAATTCTCAGAACTGGAATAAGCTGCATTAGGTGAAAAAAAAAAACATGTTAATGTGATAGGGTTTTTTTTTTGCACAGATTGAGTTTGATTTAATTACAGGTGGTTCAAACCTGGATTCGAACTCTTGAGCTCAGTTGTCTGCTGATTGTTCGAACAAAGCAAAAGACCCTCGAGCCAAACACATTCCTGCGGAGGGAGCTGGTAGGAACGTTGGGTTGCTCGGTCAATGGCCAGGATCAATGGCGGCGTGGTGTATTCCGCAAATATGGCCGACTGTGAGGGCGGGCACAAGCCGGCGTGAGTAGGTTAAACGTTGAGTTTTATAAGGGCACCACGGGGTGACCAGCCCCTCCCCACCCAGCCCCACCCCCCACCCAGCCCCTCGCCACCCTCCCCACCCAGCCCCTCCCCCACCCTCCCCTCCCCACCCAGCCCCTCCCCACCCTCCCCTCTCCACCCAGCCCCACCCCTCCCATTTTTGGATGCACGACGGACGGACACAATAATCCCCTGTGGGCTGGTGTAACCAGGAGGTTCCTACCAGTATAAGCCAACCACTATTTTATATCTTACTCTGTGGGACAGTTTGACCACTATCACTGACCAAAAAAATCTCTAGCTTGTAACTTTGAAGCGGAGTTTATAACACACAAGTGGATTATTTTCCTTTATGTTTTGCAATCTCGATATAATTTACAAATTTTAAAGTGATTTAAATTTCGATTTAACGATTTTGTGACTGCAGGGATTTATCTTCTTGGTTCTTTCAGTAAAGTCACGTAGAAGGGAAATAATATAATAATAAAAATCAAACATAATAAAATACAATTCTCACGACGTTTTGAAGATGGCTGCTTGTGTTGTGGCCGAAACGTCGTGAGAATTGTATTTTATTGTTTTATTTTTATTATTTCCCTTCTACGTGACTTTATTTAAAGTTATTTGTTTACCTTTCCTATAATTGCACTCCTATCGTGTTTTGTATTGTTTGTTGTTGTTGCATTCTGACCCGTCCCTATTGGACATCTGTGAAAAAGAGCTTTATAGCTCATCGGATCCCTCCAGTATAAATATTATGATTCTGGATGGAACAGAAGCACTTTATTGGTCTTTAATTGTGCTTTCACGTGTAGCTTTGACATGACTACAAAGTCATTATTTTTCCATGGCTACCTTTTTAAATGCTATAGCAGAGTACAATATTATACGATCCAATTTTAATATATAGATCTTTAAATGCAATGTCATCTCAAGACTGCTTAATTAAAGTCCAAGCGGAAACTTCGACTGAGCGTAATGAGGAATTCATGACAGATGAGGCATTTTCATATTTGAGAACATCATCCTAATTAACCCCCATTCACCAGATTATGTAAACCTGACACCTGGATATTGGATTTTTGAGAACATTTTCATTAGTGAATGCTGAGCACGTTTGCAATGTTTTTAATATATATTTTATGTCGAGACTAATGGTAGCATTGCTTCTTTCGCTACTAAACTGGATTATTGTTTTTTTTCTCCCAAATACCTTTGGTCTCTGGTCAAATTGCTGTCCGAATAGAATGCAGAATTGTGATCGTACTTGTGAACCTGTCTTGCTCAAAATGAGCAAGACAGAAGTGGCCAGTTATGTTGGTGGCTTTGAGACAACGGTGAACATTTCTCATTTCCACAGTGGGACCAAATCTCGTCGTAGAACCACTGTTGATTTTCCACAAGATGATTGTTGAGTGAACCCAAATCACGATTTGAACCCACAACCTTGCAATCACGAGCGGAGCGATCTAACTGCAGCACCACCTGGACAGATAACTCGGTGGTTTCTCACAAATATGAGCATGGGAGGTCCTCCTGTCCGATCTACTGTTATGAGCCTTTGAAATTCCACATTCCTATAGCAGGGGTATGCATTCCCATAGAAAAAGCGTTGTAGATTGCTTACCTCAATGAGTATACCATATTTTGATGTTAAGCTTTCGTGACTGCAGGGATTCATCTTCTTGGTTCTTTCGGTAAAGTCACGTAGGAGGGAAGTAATAAAATAATAAAAATAAAACATAATAACGGATCTGGTTTTCACCTGAGGACAGCTGCTTGCGTTGTGGCCAAAACGTCGTGAGAATAATTTTATTATGTTTTATTTTTATTATTTTATTACTTCCCTTCTACGTGACTTTACCGAAAGAACCAAGAAGATGAGTACACCATATTTCAAAACAATGACATTGTGTAAATTTGCATGTAGATGGGTAAACATTTTCAAAAAAAGTCAAATTTTTTTTTTTTATTATACACCTGCATGCATATCCTTAAAACAAAGCCCATCAAATGTTATAGATTGAAGGCATATATGTAACTATTGCATATAAACCATGAATAGTAAAGGCCTGTGCACACTGAAATATTTAGCAGAGGCAATTTTATAACCTAAAGTGAAATGGCATTTTACTGCTGTTGACGTTCCTTCTCTCTTAAGAAGACCACAATGCGAGCGAAATGTGTGTGCATCCTGTAGAAACATTTTAAATAAATAACAGTGCATTTTTCTGGTCTGGCTTGAAGTTCAAAGTGAAACTGTACACTGAGTTTTATTTTTGTATTGCACTTTGAAAAAAAAAAGATTCGTGCATCTGGCTAAGAAATGGCTTGTGTTTGGTTTTGAATCTTTGCATTCATTTTTTTTTGCATTCATCCTTGCTCACTTTGAGTCATGATCACAGACAGTCACAATCAACGCGGTACAATTACGACAGACTAAATGGGAGCAGGGTGAAGTCAGTTCGTGAATGTCACTTAGACGCCCATATTATTTTTGGCTAAGAAAACAACCATTCAGCAGAAGCGCAAAAAAAAAGTATGATGTTCCTAATGTTTGCGAAATAATTAAACCAAAGTTACTCTTGGCACTTATAACAAAGTTTAATTGAAAAAAAGTATATAGTTTATTTAATTATTAAAAGCTCACCATGTAGGTGCAGAACACTAACTGTACTGTCAGATGAGATCACAGCAATCCAGCTGATTAGTCAAATGAAGTTCATGTCTGCAGATCTTGAAAAAATAAATGAATACATATGCACCAGGTGTGTTCACAAACATCTAACATTAAACGATGACATTCTTGTAATAACGGACAATTGTGAATTGTGGCAGGGCTCAAAATTTGAATATAAACCACCACTTGTACAACGTCCCATGTATAATTGGCACATGCAGCTGC